CTCCTGGTCTGAGAATGCTGTCCAGGGCCAAGCTGAACAGATCTGTTTTCTCCTCAGCAGGATCCCCCTTGGAGCACTTGTAGCTGGGCCCCGCCACTGTTGTCACCTTGCTTTCTTTGGATGGGTCTCCTCTCCCCATCTCTCCTTCCTTCCCTCCTCTTCCTTCCTCCCTCCCCTGTGTTTGAGAAGTTGGTGGGAGGATATGGTAGAGGTGGTGGAGTTGGGGTTCAGGTTCAGAGACAGATCTAGTCCTAGGATCAAAGAAGCCATGTCCCCTAACCTTTGTGGGGCAGCTTGTCGGTATGGGAAAAACGTGGGCCCTGGATTGGCCAGACCTCAGTTTAAATTATGACTGCCGTCCTTCAGCATTCTCTGACCAGGACATACCTGGACACGTCTCCTCCCCTGGCAGCTCCATCTCTGAAGTGCAAAGGGTGGCTGGGAGTGACAAGTACCATTCTTGGCACAAAGCCAGCACATGTGACGTTTTGCACCCTGTGGCTGCCCAGTGGTAGAGGTTTCACTGTGGCCCCTCTGCACCTGTGGTTCCCACAGCTTGCTGAGCAGGATCATCTGGGGGCGGAGTATCTTTAATTAGCTCAAGGAAAGTTGAGAAATTCCTATACCAAACTGCATTTAATTTTGAAATAGATAACATTATTAGCTTTCAAATAATTGTGTTACAAGCACTTTACCTATGTGAACTCATTAATCTCCCCAGCAGCCCTATGTAGTAGGAACTATTATCATCCTCATTTTATGAATGGGGGAATTGAGGCACAGGGAGGTCATAGAGCAAGTACCTAATGGAGCTGATATTTAAAACCAGGTAGTTTGGGGCCAGCCCCATACTTTCAGCAGGATGGATTACTGCATCTCAGAAGGGTAGAATTAGATCAGTGATTCCCAAACGTCAGTGTGAATCAGAATCACCCAGAGAGCTTGTTAAAACACAAATTGAGCCCTGGCTGGTGTGGCTCGGTTGATTGGAGTGTCGCTGGTACACCAACAAGTTGGGGGTTCAATTCCTGATCGGGGCATGTATAGGGGGCAACCAATAGATGCTTTTTTTTCTCTTCAAATCAATGAACACGTAAAAAAATTTTTAAAGAGTTTATTTATTTATTTTTAGAGAGAGGGGAAGGGAGGGAGAAAGACAGGGAGAGAAACATCGATGCGTGAGAGAAACATCAATTGGTTGCCTCTTGCACATCCCCAACCAGGGACCTGGCCCACAACCCAGGCATGCGCCCCAACCCAGACTCCTTGGTTTGTGGGATGACTCCCAAGTGACCAAGCCACACCAGTCAGGGCCATATTTTAAATTTCTAAAAAAACCCACAAATCGATGAGCCCCACCCCAGATTTTCTGATTTAGCCAGAGGTTTTGCATTTCTAACATGTTCTGAGGTGATGGTGATGCTGCTGGTTCAGGGACCCCACTTTGAGAATGACTGACTATTGGGGATTAAATGGAGCCACCTAATTCCAGACCTGATCTTTTTCCCCCTGAGCTATCCAGGCTCAGACATGGGAAACAAGGGTCGATCTCACACAGAGGCAGAACACAAACCACAGTAAGAACCATACTCATTTTTTCCAAATGCCTGAAGCGTTGGCACATGTCTGCGATCTCATGTAACTCTTACAGTAACTCTGTGAGTTAAGTGGAAAATGGATTTTTCCCCCAAGTCATATTATTTTTCTCCCATTTTAAAGAAGAGGAGGTTTGGAGAAGTGGCTGAGCTAGTATCTCCCAGGGAGAGCGTCTTGGGGGAGACCAGGGATAGCATCTCAGCTTGTGACTCATCACTGAGGGACACCTCTGTGCCTTTCCGCAGATACCTTCCCACCCCCAGGCTATGATCAGAATTTCCTCCTTAAGACTGTTGTTATTTAGCTTAAATATTTGCCCATTGTATCATAGAGGATGGGTATTATCATTTTTACCCCAATGTGAATGATTTTCAGATACTTTCTTGAGAAAGCGGTGATTAAAATTCTCCCCTCTTGTGCCCCCTTCAAGCACTTGTGTCTTTATATGTCTGCAGGCCTCTTGAAGGAAGGGGCCATGCTTGGCTGAAAAAGGCATCCATAGGTGTTTGCTGGAATGGATGAATGAATGAATGAATGAACGAACGAACAAACGAACAAGCAAACTATGTTAACCTCCTTGCCCATTCTTCCCAGAGCAAGCCTCCCTCCTCTAGCAATCCTACCTTTATACCCAGTGCTTCCCGCACTGCCTCACAGTGCAGTCAGTCTCTTAGTTTCTTTTCTTCCTGTCGCACCCTAGAGTTGAGCATTATACCTTCAGGGAAACCTTCCCCCCTGCTCTTCCTAAGCAGGCATGGTTCTGCTTCCCCTGGGCTCCCAGGTACCTTGTCCATCCAACGTCGCAGCCCTAATTACATTGCTTTACAAGTATCTGCTTACTTGGCTCATTCTCATCTTAGATGGTGATGTTCTGAGAGCTGAGGTTGTGTCATTAACACAGGGTTTGAATACACAGCAGGCGCTCAATAACTTGTTGAATGAATGAGTAGCTGTGAGAACCTTGATCGTTAAGAGCAGTAGGGACAGGAACAGTATCTTTGTGAGAGGCTGTTTCCTGCTATATGTCTGCCAAGGCCATCCAGGGACAGTTTGTGAGTGATTAGAGGGGCTTACCTGTCTATACCACTTAGAGCTAGGTTCAGCTACAAGTGAGAGAATACCCGATATAACAGGAGCTGGAAAGTTCCCAGAAACCAGGGCAGCTCTTTCCTTCTGTTTCTCTGTGGCAGAATGGGTCTCATGCTTCTTTCTACATACCTGCTTTGTTCTTTTTTTTTTTGGCACATGGTGGGCAGGATGTCCCAGCTTCAAACACTTCCAATCAATTAGCCTCTCAGAGCCCAGTTCTAAATTCCTTGGAGATAGAGTCTGATTGGCTCACCTTAGGGCACGTGTCCACCTTGGTCCAGTGGACTCTGGCTAGAACAAACAAGGCAGCAAGGGTTCACCTCCAGAGGGGAGGAAGGCAGTTTTCAGAGAATGGGCGTCATGGGATGGGAAGACTCCCCAAAAGATACCTAGAGCATGGACATAGTAGGCCTCCCAGGTCAGTGTCCCAGGACTTTGCAAACTACTGTTCATTGAGGTGAATAATTTCGAGCACTTTCTGTATGCTAGGCACACAGATCTACCTTCTAGGGAGTTTCCTAAGTCTCTTTGGAATTTGTTCATACTGACTTTTGGAGTAAAGTCACAGCTCCTTAAGTTAATCACCTCCTAGCTTTCCCTTTTCAAGTTTCAAGGTGGGAATCAAGGACTTTCGCGGACACGTCTTTGGGAACTATAGAGATGTCCGTGTCCTCTCTTCTTGTCTTTGTCTCTCCAGGAAGAAGTGTCTTAGTTCTTTAGCTGATTCAGTAATGGCCCCGTCTCCCCAGTCTCCCTAAGTCCTTGACTTTCTTTCTTCAGCCCTGTGATGGGCCTCCCTGGGTTCCAAACATGAAAGTATCTCAAGTTCATGCTCAAAAAGGAAAACATCAGGTTTCTAATCTATATAAGAAAAGAATCCCAGAATTTGATGGACCTTTTTATCAGCAGCAGCAGCTGCTGATAGTGATCATAGGTACTTTTCAATGAGGACACACTCCATTTAGCGCCATGTAAACCCTTTATGTGCATCATCTCATACAAAATAATCTTCATTACAACCCTGAGAGGTAGGCATTCTTTTCCCTCTTTTACAGTAGCTGATCAGGAAGCTCAGAGACAATCGGCAACTTGCCCAAGGCCACACAGCATCTGGGCAGTGGAGCTGGGCTTCCAGACCTGACCCCCTCCCTCCAGGGGCTTCCCACACGCCCCAGGCTTCTGAGAACACTCCCCGTTGCCTCTAAATTTCTGCCCTGTGCATGTCCTTCTCTGAGCATTGTTTAGAATCTTTGGAGATACCATTCCAATGTGTTTGCTAACTCTTGTCATGGTGTAGCAACTCTTTGGAGAGGAAACTCTGATCCCATTTTAGTTACTGGACAAAACAGGTGGGGCTGGGGTCGGGCGGGGCCGTGGATGGAGCACTGTCCTGGGCCGCCCCTGGAAGCGCAGCTATGCCGCCTGCGCACTGCTTGGCTCTGGGCACGGCCCTCCCCTCTCGTGGCCTCACATGCCTCATCTGTGGCTCTGTGGGCCCTTTGCTGCCCTGACGTTCCAACTTAACTATGTATTTCATAAGGGTTTCATGAGATTGGCAACTTCTACACCCCACTGGAAGAGGGGCAGTTTCCATATGGGGTGAGCCCCCAGGCATGGGAGGCCTGCTTCTCGCCATCACACCTGGCCTGCCCCGGCCTGCTGTTTGTCCTGCAGCCCCTGCACTTTGAGGCTGCCCGATGTGTCCCACCAATCCGTTTCGGTGGGGTGTCGAGGACGTGCCCTCTGATCCCACTGCCCACCCATGGAATCCCGCCTCTGCCCCCTCGTCCTCACATGGCTGCTTATTGAGCCTGGGATTTGCAGAATGAGATTTCCCCCACCTCTGTCTTTCAAGAATATAAAGAGGTCCATGTTCTCTCCCTGGTCTTTTGCTAGGCATTTTGTACATATTCATGAAGTTGTTTATTCCCTCAGCAACTCCTTGAGTCCACAGTGCCATCCCTATTTTGCAGTCAGAGCATCCAGGGCTCAGAGAAGTTAACAGCTTTGTCTAGGTTGACACACCCGGTAGTGCCAGAGCTGAGATCCAAGCCAGGTCTGGCATGTCCCACAACACCCATGCCTCAGAATTGCTAGGGTTAGTCAGCCTGCGTTGGACCTGGGGACAAGCGTGTGGTCCTTCTGGAGTGGCGTGGCTGGTCTGTGGTTTCCTGCAGGGTCTGTTGCTGTTTGGCGGAGGGTGCAGGGGAGCCCTATAGAGGGACCTCTGTCTGTGTGTGTGGAGGGTGGGATTGTGGAGTCAGGCACCCCTGCCAGCTGGGCATCCCTGAACTCCTGTCCGCGTTTGCTTCCAGATCCTGGAGGGAGACCAGGCCATCCTGCAGAGAATAAAGAAGGCTGTGCGGGCGATCCACAGCTCTGGCCTTGGTGAGTGAGCCTTCTTGATGCGCGGCCCGGCCAGGCAGCCCCTTCCCCAGCCCTAGCCTGGAACGAACTCTGAGCTCCCTTCCCTATCTCCACAGGCCATGTGGAGAACGAGGAGCAGTACCGAGAGGCCGTGGAATCCTTAGGCAATAGTCACCTGTCCCAAAACAGTCATGAGCTGTCCACTGGCTTCCTGAACTTGGCCGTGTTCACCCGCGAGGTGGCCGCACTCTTCAAGAACCTGGTGAGGCCCCTGAGTCATTCTTAACCGGCCTCTAGCCCAGTCTCAGGGTAAATCTAGTGGGATTAAGAACCTGGCTATGAAAGGGTTTGTTTCTACCCTTCTCCCAGGTTGTCATTGACCTCTAGTCTCTCTTGACCTCTGACCCATGACCTCAGGTCCCTTTCTAGTTCTGACCTACCTTTGTATTCTTCCTCTCTGACTTCTCACCCCTGCCTTCCCTCTTTGTCTCCTTCCTTCTTCCCTCTCTGTCTTCCTCTTTGTCTTCTGTGGAAGCAGGAGCAGAGGGGGTCTCAACAGAGATGAAGAACCCCACACAAGGGAGGGAGGGCTCCCTGGAGGAGGTTGGGGAGATGAGAGGGCAGATTCTGGGGTCCTTTTTTCGTTTTTGTTTTTTTTAAAGATTTCATTTATTTATTTTTAGACAGAGGGGAAAGGAGGGAGAAAGAGAGGGAGAGAAACATCAATGTGTGGTATCCAGGCATGTGCCCTGACTGGGAATCGAACCAGTGACCCTTTGGTTCGCAGGTCAGCACTCAATCCACTGAGCTACACCAGCCCTGGCTGGGGTTCCTGTTTTTATGCCACAACCTCTCCTCAACCTTCTTTGTCCTCTGTTTTCCCAACCACATCTGCTTCATCCTCAAAGCCTAGAACCTGCCTTGTCTCAACAAGCCTCTCTGCTCTGCACAGGGCCCAGCGGCCTCAGGCTCCTTCTGAGACTGCCTCCTGTCCTGTCCTTGAGTTCCTGCCTCGAGGCCACCTGGGATACAAGCTCTTCCCAGCGTGAAGGCCTGGTCTCAGTACCTTACGTGTTAACTACTTGAATCGTGGAGCACAGCTCAGTGGGGTTGGTTTTACTGTTGTCCCCACTTCACAGGCTAGGAAACTGGGACACAAGGCTAAGCAACTTTCCTGAGGTCAGACAGCTGGATTTGAACCCTGGTTGCCTGGCCCCAGCGTCTGGGCACCAGCCTGGCTGTACCCCTTCCCAGGAAAGCCCCTCTCTCTCCAGGCTTCCTTAGACTGCCTCTCAGCTCTGGTGGCTCAAGGCCCACCAGGGTCCTCCAAGGCTGGCAGGGCCACATCATCTCGAAGAAGCAATTTGCTCCGTGGTTAAGTACCTGGACCTTAGACTTAGACTGGGGTCTCGGATCCCCGCTCTGGGGCTCACTAGGTGGGTGACCCTGGGTGAGCCACTCAGTCTGCCTGGGCCCCCGGTCTCTCATCTGTAAAACTGGGACAGTAATGGTACCCGCCTCACTGAGCCGTAACGAGGGCCACACAGGTTGAGTGCCCACTCCAGAGTAAGCGCCCGGTGAGCGTTAGTTCATATTGCCGTCTGTCGTTACGTCTCCGTGTAGCAGCGCCTCGCACACTGGCCCACACGTACACGCCCCTCACAGTGTTCGAGTCCCGCTGAATTCGTGACCTCCCTTGTCTCTATGGCTCTTTCCCTGTGTCACCCAAGCTGGTGTTTGCTGAGGGTCCACTCTATAGTAGGCATTGTGCCAAGGGCTGGCGACACAGGACAGAGTCAGCCCCTGCCTGAGGGAGCCACAGTGTAGTGGGAAGGACAGGAACGGAGATGTGGGATGATATCAAGCAACACCAGCAGCGTGACATGAACTCAGAAAAGGGGAGGTCGGCGTAGGCCACGGGCCGGAGCGGTCAGGAAGGCCCCCTGGAGGAGGGGAGACCTGGGCTGTACCTTGAAAGGTGGGCTGAAATATTAGACCGGCCGTTTGAGGTTGCCAAATGACAGAAACTCAAACCAAACTAGGTTAATTTTTAAAAGGGGAATTCGTTGGCCCCTGCGATGGAAAGTCCGGAGTGCAGCTGGTTTTAGGCTCCTCCTTTCTCTTATTTTCCTCTGTCTCTGCTCGGTGGGCAAGGTGGCACCGCCGGCCCAGGTTCATATACTACCTGAAGCCTTTCTCCCATGACTTGCACAGACAAGTCCCAGAAAGGATCTGATTGGCTGGCTTGGGTTGTGTGCCTCTTCCTGATCCAACCACTGTGGCCCAAAGATGGGTACTTTCTGGTTCTGACTCCTGTGTTCACCCCACGTGACCACAGGGAAAGGGTTCCCCACATTCAAGGGGAGACAAGGAACTAGTGAGACAAAAACCACAGGTGGGCACAACAGGAGGACTTCAGAGAGTCAGACAGGGGCGGGAGGAGGCTCCTGGCAAAAGAGCAGATATGGAGCTGATCATGGATGTTCCGGGGACGGTGAGCTGCTGAGAGGCTGGGTTAGGGCAGGGCAGGCCTAACAGCTTCTATGGGAGGCTAACTCCGCCATCCCTTTCCACCCCCTACCTCCTCGCCTTTCTCTCCCCTGCTTCCTTGACCCCCAGCGATGTCCTTTGCCTCACGCTGCTTCTTTGTACTTGAGCCCCTTGGGGCTGGACAGATGGTCACCCAAGGTGTGCTATGGGGGCATCTGCTTTTTCCAGGTTCAGAACTTGAACAACATTGTCTCTTTCCCACTGGACAGCCTGTTGAAGGGGCAACTGAGAGACGGGCGACAGGTGAGTTTCAATGTGGCGCTGGGGCTGGGGTGGAGGATACCCAGAGGTGGTGGCATGGAGCAGGACAGGAGCGGGCAGGAGATCTTAGGGGAAGACAAGCAAGGCTGTCACGGTGGAAGTACTGACCCTGTATTACTGACCTCGGAAGGACAGGAGGCCTTGGCTCTGGGGTCAGCCTCGGATGGCTGCCCTGCTGTCTGCCAGGGCCCTATGTGGGGTAGCTCATGGAATTCCTACAACCCTGTGAAGTGGGTTCTGTAGGTACTATCATCCCCAGTTGAGTAAATCAAGGTCCAGGGAGTTTGGGTGTTTGGCAACCTGCTTAAAGTTTACAGTCCGTCTGAGAGGGAGCCAGCGTGGGATCCAGGCTCCCGGCTTCCTGCTTGGCTGCTCTCTGCATCTGGCAGCTCCTGGCTAGAGGCAGACAGGAGCTCAGAGAAGGTGACAATAATCTACCTGGAGAGGCTGCCCCAGAAGACCCAGGGGAGGAGCTGCCCTCCCCCCAGAGGCTTCCCTCCTGACCCTAGGCTAGACACCAGATTGGGAACCACCCAAACCAGATGGGCAGCTTTTTCCCCTGGCTGACTGGGGCACTCAGAAGTTGGGGCAGTTCTGAGGGTGTGAGCAGCCTGGCCCAGGCAAACTAGGCCAGGGATCAGTCGGGTCACCCTGGCTTGCTGTGTGGCTTTGGGTAGACTTCTTAGCCTCTCTGTGCTTAGGTTCTTCTACCTATGCCCTTCTTATTGAGAGGATGATCTAGGACCAGACAGGAGAAAATGGAGGGATAAAGTTGGACAAGGGGGCTCTGAACTTCATCCCCCCCATCCTCATCCTCATGGTAATCTCCATCTTTTGAGAGAGAGTTCAGGGCAGACCCCCCAAAATCTCCCCACATCCTGGGCCTGGGCCCACCAAACCCAACTGATTCTTGGCAACTGTGGGAAGAGATTAGGTGCAGGGTTCCCCTAACGGTAGCAAAATGTACTGTTGATTCCACACCCCAAGTGCCCCTTTGGGCTAATTGTTCTTTTTAAACCACAGGATTCCAAAAAACAGCTAGAGAAGGCGTGGAAGGACTTTGAAGCCAAAATGTAAGTGGTTGCGGACAGGGCGCTTCATCCAGGAGAGTGACGTTTATGTTGCAGCAGGAGGCTGGATTCGGGAAGAACCCAGATGCTGCCAGGATATGTTACCCAAAAGCACGTGACATCTAGCTCTCTGGAGGCATTTATGGGGGTGGGGGTTGTCGTGGTGGTAGTGGTTTATGAGCAGGACTAACAGGAGTCTGGGGGCTGGACCACAAGACCACCAAAGGGGAGCTATTGTGAAGAGACTTCAGAATGCTGCTAGCAGAGATCACATGCTCAGTGGCACCAGATGTGGCAGAGACAGGAGCTACCATTTACTGAACACTTCTATATGCTAGTCATTTAACCTTCACAATCACCCAGCCCTGCAAGGGAGACATTAGTGTCCCAGTTAACAGAGAAGGAATTGGGGGCTTAGAGAGTTTAAGTCACTTTCCCAAGGCCACACAGCTAGGCAGAGGCAGAGCTCGGGCTCATGTTCCTTGATCCTCTTTCTGCAACACACCAGATGGCATCTATAACATTTAGCTGGATGTAGAGGAGGAAGGGGAGTTGATGTCATACCCTGGCCTCTTGTGTGCACCACCGATGACATCATGGGGACAGAAGGAGCCTCGGGCACCCAGAGACCAACTCCCTCTGAGTGGAGACGCCTCGGGCTCTGTCTTCTGGAATCTGTACAGGTCCTAGCCCAGCCCTCTGCCAGGGCCCAGCCAGGCTTACCGTACCTCAGAGCACTGTTTGTTCTTCTTGTGTAAAATTTTTTCTCTTGCATTTTGCTATATATGCTATATATGCTCATTGTGAATAACTTAGAAAACATGAAGAAAAAGAAGAAAAAAGTTTAATTATGCTCAGGAGAGGATTAGGGTCATGTGGGGAGTATCTAGTACTTCTCTGTTGTTTGAATTTTTTTTTACACTGTATGGGTAGCACAGTAATTTTATCACTTAAAAAGAGCTGAGGGAGGGAAGAAGGGAGGGGGCAAGGGAAAGTGGTGGGGGGTAGGCAGAGAAAAATGTATTTGAAAAAATAAATTAAAATAAAAAAATAAAAAGAGTGGGAGAAGGAGGAACTACCAAAAACTAGAGGAAAACCCTTAATTTCCAAGGTTAAAGTATTAACATCTTTCTAGCTGTTTTTCTGTATATAAAGGAAGATTTTTACAAAACTGACATCATAATAATCATACTGTTTTGTAATCTTTTTCGTACTTAAAAATGCTTTGTGTCCCTGGCTGGGTAACTCAGTTGGTTAGAACATTATCCAGATATGCCAGGGTTGCAGGTTCAATCCCCGGTCAGGGCATATACAGAACTTAAAGAGAGAAAAAAATGCATCGTGACCATCTGCCTACATCATTACATATTCTTATACATCACTTGCATGATGCAATGTGTGCCAACATCTGCATAACCCACAGTGTATTTCACCCCTATCACCAGGGAAGCATCCTTGGAACTAAACCTTTGCTGTCAGCCATAATTATTTCTGTAGGTTCAATTCCAAGAAGTAGATCCTGGAGCTTTATTGTTCCTCCAGCTCCCAGAGCCATGGGGGCCTCCCTGAGCCTGAACGAAGGCTACGACTTCTCCCTCCACCAGCATCTCCCTCCACACGCCAGCTGTGGGTGTAGATCCTGCGGTGATGGGCGTGGGAGCCGTGATGGGCGTGGCCAGCTGCCCTCATTAGAGGCCTAGAGAGGGGTGTGGACACACAGGCTTTCTCTTTATATTTTGATGTGGGTTACATGACCTTCTTTAGATACCTTGAATAAGGCCTTGGCCTTTCAGGACTTCACCTACCAAATGGGAAGAATAAACCCTACCCTGCTGACCTTCCCCAACCAGTTCTGCTTTTACCAGGTTTATATATTGAACTTGCCTATGAGGTTTCATTTAAAGAAAAGGTTCCGTGTAATTGATGGGGAAAGGGTTTTGGCCGAGGTTATTTAGGGAGTTATCAATAGAACCCAAAGCTTCTTAGTCCAGTGTTCTTCCTGCCATGCTACATGGCCTGGCTCCTGACATGCGTGTTACATAGGTTGAGCTACCTGTCCTGGCACAGATGTCTGTGTACATTTCTTTTTCTGAGCGCCCCAGGTACAGCTAGATATTGATGAGCCAGGAGTCGATGAGTAATTCCACCTCATTCTTACCAAACCAGTCTGGGTGGCAGCTGACAGGGCGCCAACAGCATGTGTCTGATGCCACCAGGAGTCTCTTCCCTGGGTTTTTCATATTTTACTTATTTTTCATTTTTTACTACTGAGGAGGAGGAAGGTTTGCCTCTCCACCTGGGGCTGCTAAGAAAGGCATCCCAGGCCCTGTGCAAGAGCCAGGTTTATCTAAGGCTGTCCCACCTGCGGGTCTGTTTCCTCATCTGCAAAATGGAGCCAGCGATACCTCGCAGGGTTGACACGGGGGTGAAATAAGTGCGGTGCATAGAAAGCACCCGGCACTGCAGTTCCGCAAATACTTAGTGGCCATCTTTCTGAGCCACAGTTGGGCCCAGAATAACACAGCAAGGGGCTGAGAGGCAGGAACCCAGACTGCTGCTCCCAGCACGTCCCCTGGCCAGCTTGGGATCGCGGGCAGTCGCTTCCCTTGTCCGGGCCTCGGCTTCGTCATCTGTAAAATAGTTCCTGACCTCTGTGCTGGTACCGGCATTATGGCGCTGTCACTTTGTGCTTTTGTTACTTATTGAGCCACCTCTCTTTTTGCTTATAAACCAGGGGGACCCACTAAGGCGGGGATTGTGGTGGTTTTTTCCCCTCCCTGCTTATCTATCAATTGGGGATAGCAACAGCATCTTTCCTTGCTAAAGGGACTAAATCTGGTAACAGATGTAAAGGACTCATCACAGTATCTGGTACAAAGGCAGCTCTTAAGTATAAGTATTAGCTGCTATTGTTACTAATTATTATTTTTAAGCGCTCAATCAGTAGCCCCATTTTACAGATGAGGAGGCTGAGATGGTAAGACGCTTGGTCAAGTCATACAGCTGTTAAGTGGTAGAGCAGGATTTGAACCCAGATCCGTCTAGTGCTAGAGCCCTGGGTCCGGCTCTGGTAACCAATACTGGGCTCAGACTTGCTCCATCCCTCCTTCCCTGCCTGGTTCCCCCAGACGGTGATAGTCACAGTGTCTTTTTTGATGGGTCACACAGTGATGGCGCCCTAATGACAGTACTGGGCCAGAGGTGGTAGAAAAGGCAGGCAGTTTTGTTTGGGTGGAGGGAAGGGTGGTCGGAAGAAGCATCACAGGAGAGCTGTGTCGAGGTCAGGCTGGCGGGTGCGTGATCCGTTTGGATTCCTTTCCTCGCCCCTCTCCCGACTCCCTGACCTCCTCCCTGCCCCAGAGAATGCCTGTTCCCCGTCTCCTCAACGTGGCTCCTGTCACCCCCTCTCCAGTTACCTCAGTCTTCTGAGTAACGAGCATTCCATCACTTCTTACTCACCATTTCATTTCATTCCTGCTGCTGCCAGTCCATTCAAAGGAAAGAAAAACCTTCCTATCATATGAAATGTTTATAAATGTTGGTGATCCTTTGAGGACAGGAAGGGAAAGGGAGTTGCTATTTTATGGGTTAGGGGTTGATGGGGTAAAAACACTCCCCAGCTGTTAGTTGGAGGTGTCTCAGGTCATTTCAGGTGGCTATGTCAGACTTTGCAGGGTGAATCTCTGTAAATTCCCAGAGCTGAGGCTGAGGGACAGAGCTATGGTAATTCACCAAGTCATGAATGGTACTTTACAGCTTATCTTCATTCTGAGCTAACTAGTTGTGTCCTTTAATCTCCACTGAACCCTGTATTTAAAATACTGAATAAATAAATAAGTACCCTATACTAAAAAAATTATCTAAAGGAATCACTGATAGTTATTATAATCATTAGAGTCATTAGCATCATCATAATCCTGCCATTTATTGAGGGCTTACTGTGTGCCAGGAATGATACTAAATGTTTCCCATGTAATCACATCATAGGATAATTAGGCAGTGTTAGTCTTATTTTTGAAATGGGGAAACTGCAGCTTGGGAAGATTCATAAAGGTTAAGCAAGTGAGGGAGCTGCCATTCAGATCCAGAATCCACATTTCTAGCCACTGTATTATATTGAGACTTCCTTTCTGTCCGTTGCCTCTGGAGCAGACACTTTTCCATGCCACAGTATATAGAGAGCCTCCTCGTCCTTTTTAAGAGCTGCATAATATTCCTAATGTGGAAATAGCATAATTGATTTAACCACTTCCTATTGCTAGACATTTAACTTATTTTTCAGTTTTTTACCACTGAGAGAAACGGGAACAATGTGTACTTGGGAGAGCCCCCGCCCCCCGCCCCCCTCCCAGCGCTTAGTCTGCCCCCTGCTTAGCAAGCTGCCAGGCTCATCGCTGCTGAGGCTCTGCAGGCCCGGCCGTTGCCTCCCTCTCTCCTGCTCACCTTCAGATCCAAAAAGAAGCATCTGCCTCGATCCTCAGGCCCGTTTTCCAGAGCTGGTACTCACCCCCCAACTCCACCCTGCCACAAACTCCCACTTGGAATGAAAATAACCACTTATGAGAAAATTTAAATAAAATTAAAAAGCCTGCAGAACCCCACTCTAAAGCAGGGGGTCTCACCCAAGGGTGATATGGCACCTCTGCCCTCACTCCCAGGAGACATTCCTGGTTGTCACAACTGGGGAGATTGGCATCTAGCGGGTGGAGGTCATGGATGCTGCTAAGCATCTTACATCCACAGGACAGCCCCCACACCAAACTGTGTGGTCAAAATGTCTTCGGTTTCAAGGTTGAGGCACTGCTCTAGGTGCAGATTCTGCCTGTAAACACGATCCCAGAGGTTGGACCTCAGTAAGGCCTGGAGCTTTAGTGCCAGGGGGACCATTCTAGGCCACTGCTTCTTCAGCTTACAGGTAGGAAACAGAGGCCTAGAGGGGCCTGTAGTAATAATAGCTATTCTATCTTCTATATGCTGAGGCTTTTGCATACTTTATCTCATCTGGGTATAGATAAGGGTCCCCATTTTCCAGATTAGAAGACTGAGGCTCAAAGAGGAAAAGTAGTGCAACTCGTAGTATATCCTACATCTGTCTGTTCTGCTCAGGCCTGGCACCCACGTGGGAGTAGAACTGTTAAGTGAGATGTCTCCTTTCTACAGGATTCATGATCACTTGTGCCCAGACTCTGATATGGAAGGACTCTCCTGGCTGGGAGTGGGTGGTCTGAGGGGTGTGGGGTTTCCAGGAAACCACGTACACACAGTTCCACCCTGCTCCAAAGAGAAAAACTGCCAACCTTTGAGATCTGCAGGGAGAAGGCCCAGGTTACTTTCATTTACTAGGATAGGAAGCACTTTCTGTCTTCACTTACAAAGAACAAAGGTTTTCTAAGCTTTAAATGGGAAGCTCCACAGCTCAGAAGAATGAAGGTACTTAGTGGTCTTCTAACCCACATGGTACTAAATCCCTTTCAGTAAAAGCAGATGGAAGTGGTCAGTCACCCCGACTCCCCCCTGGCCCTTATCTGAGTGCATCGCCTCCCTGCATAAAACCCTCAAGTCATTCCCATTGCTCTTGGGATAAAGACCAAGAACCTTGACAGGGTCTGAATTAGGCCCTGCATGGTCTGGCCCCTCTTTAGCTCACCAGGAACCACCTCCCTCTCCATCTGGCCTCCTGATCCCTCCTGCCTCCGGCCGTCACATGCTCTGATCCTCCTACCCAGCCCTAGATTCCTCCAAGACAACTTCTCAGACTTCAGATCCCAGCTCAAACATCAATTCCTGGGCAGCTGGAAAAGGTTGAGTGCCCTATTTTTCTCTCCCACTGCTCTCCTCAAGGCTGTGATTCGATCCATGACTTTTCCCCCCTTGAGCCTGTGGGTTCCCTGAATCTGCCTTTTTCACTGTGTACCCCAGCCCGACCACACAGGGGGCACACTGGAGGCCCCTCACCCTCCTGTGCCCGCGGCAGACAGGAGGATGTAGGGATGGTGAGGTGTGAAGGGGGTCGGCGAGAGACATTCAGACCTCTCTTTCCTTGGGGCCTAGGGCCAGGCTGGAGAAGGAGAGGGACCGGGCCAGGGTGACAGGAGGGAACCCTGGGGAGGTGGCCCAGGACACACACAGAGAGCGGCGCGTCTTCCAGCTGCACATGTGTGAGGTAACGGCTGCTCCTGGGGAGGGGCGGGTGGGTTTGCCTTCCTGTCTGCTTCTCCTGAACGTCCGGGGGCCCAGTCCCAGGCTCAGCTCAGGTCCTGGTCAGATGGCCCTTGGGATGTCACCAAGCTTCAGTCATGGCCAAGAATTAGTCTGGGAAGGGGACTACGACCCCTAGTTCCGGGGACTGGGTTTCTGCTCACATGGCCCGTCTTGCCCTACCCGCCCCGCAGTATCTGCTCAAAGCTGGGGAGAGCCAGATGAAGCAAGGCCCCGACTTCCTGCAGAGCCTCATCAAGTTCTTCCACGCCCAGCACAAGTAGGTTTCTTCCCATGTCCCCAGCCCTATCCCCAAGCTCCTCGTCCCTTAACCCAGCAGGCAACACAGAACAAGGCCCATGCCCAGGGTCTGGCAGACCCTCAGGGACTCAATATGTCTGTACCTTGTTGGTAATGTTTTTTACAGCCCTTTATTGAGCACTTTCCGTGTGTGACTTGATCTCACTCAATCCCCTAACCCCTCTGTGAGTGGGTACTCTTATTATCCCCATTTTACAGAAGAGAAAACTGAGGCTCAGGTTTACCAAGGTCACACACCCAGTAAGTGGGATCTGGGCCCAGACACCAGAGTGCCCGTTCTTGACCATCAGACTATACTGCCCGGTGATCCTTAGAGCACCTGTCCCATACTTCATGCTTTCTCTTTCATTTTCATTTCTCTCTGGTCCCTTTGTTGGCCTCGCACCTCTTAGCTTTTTCCAAGATGGCTGGAAGGCTGCTCAGAGCCTGTCCCCCTTCATCGAGAAGCTGGCAGCCTCAGTTCATGCAGTAAGTCGGGCCTCACCCTTTGGCACGTGGTCAAGCCCCCTGTTCTTCCGGAAGAATCTGTGGGCGTGGAAGAGCTGGCCCCGGCCCAGAGAGTGAGGCCCCTGCCCTGCTGCTCTGGTTCTGGGCTCTGCATCTGGCACGTCTGGCGGCTGATGATGGGGTCCTGTCCTCTGTCCCATAGCTGCGTCAAGCCCAGGAGGAGGAGCTACAGAAGCTGACCCAGCTCCGGGACTCCCTCCGAGGGATGCTGCAGCTTGAGAACAGAGAGGTCAGCCCCTGATCCCTCCCAGAAGGAATGCTTTCCCCCAGGGCACACCATGCAGGGGCTGGGGAGAGAAGCAAGACTTTTCACCCTAAGTCTCCTTGCGGGAGATCCCTGCAGAATGGGGCTCTTTCTAACCTGAGGTCACCTTTGCATGTCTGAGAAACAGGAGAATATGAGCCGGAAGAACTCAGGAGGTGGCTACAGCATCCACCAGCACCAAGGCAACAAGCAGTTTGGGACGGAGAAGGTGGGCTTTCTATACAAGAAAAGTGATGGGTAAGTGACTTGGAGAGCTTAAGTAACTTGCCCAAAGCCACACAGACAGTGAATGTCAGGGCTGGAGTTGCTGACCAAAAGGACTATTCTTATCATCTGGGTAAAACCCTGAGGGTTCCAGGACTCTGCCCTGTGGCAATGCAAAATCATCACAGTCCTGGGCAGTGAACTTCTAAAAGTCACTGGTTGTTCTTAACTTGAAGAACAACAGCAGCAGCTAACACTTTTTGAGCACTTATTATGCCCTAGACAGTCTCCACGCCCCCACTCTTAACCTCTACAATGTACTGAACATGCCTGGAAATGAAAGCGTCACCTGTGCCTTGCTCCCTGGTGGGGTGGGGGCGGGGGGGGGGAGCCTGTGAAATGCAAAGGCGCTATGGGATGCGTTCATGTTTCTACTTTCTTTTTTTTTTAAAGGCTTTATTTATTTTTAGAGAAAGGGGAAGGAAGGGAGAAAGAGAGGGAGAGAAACATCGATGTGCCAGAGATACATCAATAGGTTTCCTCCCGCATGCCCCCAACCGTGGACCTGGCCCGCAACCCAGACATGTGCCCTTGACTGGGAATCGAACCAGCAGCCTTTTGGTTCGCAGGCCAGCACTCAATCCACTGAGCCACACCAGCCAGGGCTGTTTCTACTTTCTAATCAGTTTTTTTTTATCAGGGAAGAATAACTTAAATCAATTAATATTTACAGAAGTGTTAAGTAGCTTTGGAGCATGGATTTGCTCATTGTATTTGGGGTCTTAATATTTACCTTGCTTTGTCTTTAACCATAATTATCTCTTGTGGTCAAGCGCCTGTTCCTCCACTCAGATAAGGAGCTCCCTGAGGTTGGGAGCTGTGTCTCCTCCGTCAGATTAGAAGCTCTCAGAGAGTCAAGGTCACGCGGTCCCTTTTAGAGGACTCCAGAGAGTGAAGCTGTTTCTCCCATCAGTCTGGGAGCTTCTTATGGGCACAGCTGCATCTTCTTCAGAAGGGAGCTCCAGAAAGGGAGGAGCCTCAGAGTCAGGAGACAGGAGGGATGAAGAGGAGTGGCTGGAGATCCTTTGGCGGGGCTGGGATCTGGTCCAGGACTCTTCTGATACAGGGAATTAGGTGTAAGCCTTGGGTCACTGTCTCTCTATCCCTCTGGGCCCTAGAATTCGAAGAGTCTGGCAGAAAAGGAAGTGTGGAGTCAAGTATGGCTGCCTGACCATCTCACACAGCATGGTGAGGCTTGGAGGGGTGGGGGTCTCGGAGGGGTGGGGGTCTCGGAGCACCAAAGGTCCTTTATCCTCCTGGTGTTCTGAGCAGGCACGTGTCAAGCCCTCTCCTCTAAGACCAACCCCCAAACCTGGATCCAGGTTGCTGGAGACCCCCTGTGGAGGGAAAGCTGGGACCCAAAGCCCCCAGCCTCATCTTGGCCCACACTCCACCACCTTGAGGTGCTGGGAGAGGGGAGACATTAAATTGGAACTGGGCTATGACCATTGAACAGATTGAGAAATAGAGGACTTAAGAGTTTGAGAGGCCCAGAGGGTAGCACAAACATCCTCCACCCTCAACTTCCCACAGATAAACCGGCCGCCAGTGAAGCTGACCCTGTTGACCTGCCAAGTGAGGCCAAACCCCGAGGAGAAAAAGTGCTTTGACCTGGTGACTCGTGAGTAGTCCCTGCCTGCTTCTCACAACAGCCCAAGGCTTCTCTAAGACACATGTCAGCAACCAAGAGGCAGTGACTGGAGGCCTGTGTCCAACCCCACACTTGTTTACCAAACAGCTGCTGTGCGGGCAGAGGACTCCTTAGGCCCTGGACATTCAGTAAAGCATATTTGAATGCATTTGGATGATTTGGCTTTCGGAAGTATTATTACTTCAGAATGTTCACTTTTCATCCTTCGGAGCCTTTGGTGCCAGGCCTTTCCAGGGCAGGTGCAGGCGGAGAAAGGCCTGCGTCTCGTCCTTAGGGAGCCCGCTTGGCAGGCCTGTGACGAGAGACCCAGGAGAGGCAGCGTCCAGAAGAGAGGTGCAGACAGACACAGCACTGTCACAGTTTAAAGAGGGGGAGGCCTGCCCTGCTGTGGGGAATCAGGAAAGGCTGCTTGGAGGAGGCAGCATTTGACGTTAGCTTCGAAGGACACAGGAGGTAGAGTTTGGGGAGGGCATTTAAGGAGACAGGATTGGCATGAGGACAGGCATAAAAACAGGAGCGTAGGTCTGGCCAGTTTGGCCAGAGTGCAGGGTTCACCCAGGAGTAGTAGGAGATGAGGCCTAGGAATGCCTCTGAAAGGTGTGGACCTTATTTCCTGGTAGTAGGGAGCCAAGGCGGGTCTTGGAGCAGGGAAGAGGTGCGGTTAGAGCAGAACCTTGGGCTACCACCATCTGGCAGCTGGTAGAGGTTGGGCGCGGGGACAAGATGAGGAGCAGGGAGACCGAATAAGGGCTGTGGGGCCAGGTGGGGCGGTGGCAGTGGGTTCAGAAGAGACACTACCTCTGAGCTGGGTGGGGTCCTGTGCCCTAGAAGACCTCCTCTGACCCTGCATCCCCGGCTGCACAGAGAGCCTTGCTGTGATCCTACTTTGAAGGTGTTTGTAGGTGACTTCTGAGACACTGTCCCCCTCTGCTGGCCACTGCCATTACCAGCCCACACCTAGCTTGGCTGTGCCTGGGCCCACAGGGACTAGGGCTCCGTCTGGATCCAGAGGTTTGGGTGCGGGCTCCCTGGGCTCAGGGAAGGCCAGGGGCACTTCTGTGGGCCAGACATCTCCCCTTCTTCCCACAGACAACAGGACGTACCACTTCCAGGCGGAGGACGAACACGAGTGTGAGGCGTGAGTGCTCCCCCACCGCCAGCCTGGGAGTGGGAGCCTGGGAGCCTGAGGGGCAGGACCCAGAGCCCAGTACCTTCCCCACACCCCTCCCCCCACACATTCTCCGCAGGTGGGTGTCAGTGCTGCAGAACAGCAAGGACGAGGCTCTGAGCAGTGCCTTCCTCGGGGAGCCCAGCGGCATTCCGGGGCCCTGGGGGGGCGCTGGGCTGGACGGGGAGCTCCAGGACCTCACCAAGCTCCTCATCGCGGAGGTGAAGAACAGGCCCGGGAACAGCCAGTGCTGCGACTGCGGGGCTGCAGGTCCGTCGGGGACTTGGAGGAGGGCGGCGGAGCGGGAGGGGACGGGCCCCCACCTCCAGGAACGAGCTGCCCTCCCTTGCAGACCCCACGTGGCTCAGCACCAACCTGGGCGTGCTCACCTGCATCCAGTGCTCTGGTGTCCACCGCGAGCTGGGCGTGCGATTCTCGCGCATGCAGTCCCTCACCCTGGACCTGCTGTGCCCCTCGGAGTTGTTGGTGAGAGTGGAACTGGGACAGAGGAATTTTGGGGCGTGGCTTGGTCAGGAGGCGGTTTTGGGCAGACGACTCAGCCAGAGCTTGTGGGTGGCTTGGTGGCTGAGGTGAGGCAGGATCCCGACCTGCCAGAAAAGGGGGACAGTGGCGGAGGGGGTACCTCTAGGGGCTCGTCCTCCAGGGGGCGCTGTTTTAACCACCCTGTGTTTTCTCTGACTCCAGCTGGCCTTGAACATGGGAAACACGCGCTTCAATGAGGTCATGGAGGCCCAGCTGCCCTCACACGGGGGCCCTAAACCCTCAGCTGACAGTGACATGTAAGGGGATTCTCAGATGGAGGGCGCCCAGGCTGGGGATCCTGCCCCTCCAGCTCCCGAGGTCCCAGAAACGTTTTGGACCAGAAGTCTGGGGAGAGGGGAGCCTCAGATCTGTAAGAGTCCAGGACAGATTCTGAGGAAAAGGCGGTCCGTTATCCCCTGTGGAATGGCGCCAGGAGCCAGCCGGGTGGAAACTGCTTTTGCTCTGAGATCCTGTGGTTGTCTTTGGCAGGAGTGCCCGCAGGGACTATATCGTGGCCAAGTATGTGGAACACAGGTTTGCCCGGCGGTCCACACCCGAGCCTCAGAGACTCTGGATGGCCATTTGTAACCGGGACCTCCTGTCTGTACTGGAGGCCTTCGCTAATGGGCAGGACTTCGGACAGCTGCTGCCAGGGCCTGATGGGCAGGTGAGAACCCCCTTCAAGAACCGCTTACAGCCCACCCACACTCACATACTCCCCAGCCCCCTGGGTCCAGCTATTACTCCCCTCTGCCCACCTCTGCCATCTGCTGAAACCCCACCCATCAGAGGAGTAAATGGGAAAGAACACAAGTTCATTCGAGCAGACCTGAGCCAGAATCTGTCTTTTCCTGGCTGTGCGATCCAGGTTACCTAAGGTCCCTGCATCTTTTCTCGTCTGTAAGACAGGTTTATGGTAGCGCCCACAGCGTTGAAGTGAGAATTAAGTCATGTATGTAGAGGGCCTGGTGCACAATATGTGTGCAATAAATTTTTAGTATCTTTTTTTTCTCGAATACTCTTAACAGTGGATAAAGGTGGGTCAGATTGGAGCAGGGAAGGCCGTTGTATGGCTTTGCCTGTAACAAACTTTATGTGAATAGGGATGGGGAGAAAATGAGAGACATTTGAAAGGTAAAATCAACAGGCATTGCTGACTGACTGGACGTCACGATGGGATGGCGTGCCTTTGAGCCGTCCGCTCTCTTTGGGGGCTGCCCAGGGGGCAGCGCAGTGTGAAGGAGAGGTGAGGACCTGGAACAGCCTATGTGGGAGACAGCTGAGGCATGAGGTTCGTTCGCTGAGGTGCTGGGTGGTAGAGAGAGGAGCCCAGGGCCAGAACCAAGTTTAGGAAACATCTCCCGCTGGGGCCAAGAGGAGCCAGAGCCATTGACGGAAGAGATGAGGGAGTGGCTTTTCACCCTCCTCTCAAATATGAGGTCTTTCCATTCAGTCTCATCTCACAGGGGCTCTGGCAGCTTCTTGTCTGGAGGTGCCAGGAGCAGCAAGGGTTCAAGCGGGTCATACTGGGCTGGGGGCAGGTGAACTGGGGGAAACTCAGAGGTGTGGACTTGTATGCAGGCACCTGCAGAGCTCGCCCTGCACTTGGCTGTCAGAGTCGCCACCCAGGCCTCCCTGCCCCTGGTGGATTTCATCATTCAGAACGGGTGAGACCCTCCCTGCCTGTCCGGCCGTGTTCTCCCGCCGACCCCTTGCCTGGCTCTTCTCCCACTCTTCCTCCCTCCTCTCCTCTGCCTCCTTTTACCCCAACCTTGACCCCTCATCTCTCCTTCCCCCTCCCTTCCTCTCCGGCCGCCCCTCCCCAGCGGTCACCTGGATGCCACAGCTGCTGATGGGAACAGTGCTCTGCACTACGCTGCGCTCTACAACCAACCCGACTGCCTCAAGCTGCTGCTGAAAGGAAGAGCTTCCGTGGGCACAGGTGGGGCCCAGCGCCTCCTCTGTCAGACTCCCACCCCTCGCTGCCCCTTGCGTGGGGCGCCCAGCCTTTCGTCCAGACAGAGCGCTGGTCACGAGCACGCACTTCTCAGTCAGACTGAGGTTCTAGTGCTGGCTTGCTTCTGCCCGCCTGTGTGACTGTGGGGTTTGCCATTCAGCTCTTGAACCTTAGCTTCCTGCTCTGTAAAATGGGAATAATACCACTGACCTAATAGGCCTGCTAAGAGGGTAAAATAAAATATTTTTTCTGAAAGTACCTAACCAAATAAACATGAGCTGAACCTGAATTATAGTGATTATAATAGCTACCATTTACTGTTTAACATGCGCCTGGTAATCTGCCAAGTGCTCTATACATATTCATTCATTCAATTTTCACAACAACCCGGTCAGGTAGTTACAAGCATCATACTTATTTTATAGATGAGAAACTTAAGGCCCAAGGTCACACAGCCAGGAAGAAGCACAGCCAGGACTTGAACCCAGACAGTTTGATCCCAGAGCTCATCTTAACCTCTCAGCTCTAATGTGCCTTTGACCCTCACTATGACTCCTGCCTTTACCCCTCACAGTGAACGAGGATGGAGAAACAGCCCTGGACATAGCCAAGAAGAAGCAGCACAAGGAGTGCGTGGAGCTGGTGAGTCCAGGGAAGGCGGGGTTCCCTGACCCTTTTGCTCTCTCCTCTGAGCCCTGACCCTCTGAACGGTCAAGGCTTTGTTTTTGGCAGCTGGAACAGGCCCAGGCTGGGACCCTCGTCTTCCCTCTGCATGTGGACTACTCCTGGGGGATTTCTACAGAGCCTGGCTCTGACAGTGAGGAGGATGAGGAAGAGAAGGTGGGTCCGCATCCCTGCCTCTCAGGCTTCTAGACTGTAGAAGGAAAGAACCTGATTGGGCCTGGCGTTGGGGGTGGGGGCTGAACTGGAGGACGCAGGCTGCGCCCCCACCCATACCCCTGCCCCAGCAGTGCTGCCCGCTGAAGGCCCCGGCCCAGGCCCACTGCACCAGCGGGAGGATGGACATCAGCAACAAGACCTACGAGGCCATCACCAGCCTGGGATTAGCTTCCCCTCAGAGCCAGAGTGAGGACTGTCCCCCACCCTTACCAGTCAAAAACCCTTCTCGGACCATGGTCCAAGGCCGCGCAGGACATACCAGCGGAGGTATGGTTGGCTTCCCAGAAAAATGCTCATTGTGCCACTCATTGAGGGCCTCCTGAGCACAGGTACATGTGTTAGTCCGTATCATCCTCACAATCACCTGACAGGCTGGGGTTATCATCTCCCCCTTTACAAGTACAGGAACAGAGGTGTTAAGTAACTTACATAAGTCCCTTGTGTGGGATTCAAACCCAGGTCTGTTTTACTCCCAATTTGTCAATGCTTCACTTCAATAAAAAGAGAGAAGCATTCTTTGAGCATCCACTTTGTCCTGAGGCCTTTGGGGGCTCCTGAGACATGGTCAAGTGTGGGAGACAAAAACTGGAATACAGGGGAAGGCACAGTGCAAGGGATGTGAATCCCAAGGGTTCAGGAACGTGGAGTGTCCTGTTGACTACTGTTTCTCCAGCCCCTGGCACCATGCCTGGCTGCCTGGCTGTTCTCAAGAACTATGTGCTGAATGAATGAATGAACTGGCTTGTTCTTGGATTTCAGGGGAGAGAGAGAGTGTGTCCTGTTGGGACTGGAGGGTGGTTAGGGAAGGCTTCCTGGTGGTGGGGACAGCCTCTGAGCTGAGCCTAAGGGATGAGCAGGAGAGCCCAGTCTGAGGAGAATGTGTAAGCAGAAGCCAAACAGTGTATCTCTGTTGCCCTGGCTGTTGAAAATGGATGTCGTGGGTGGATAAGACTGTGGCGCTTTGGGGAAGACTTGAAGGAGAGAGCTGGAGGGGTAGATGGGGCGTGGGGAATGGGCAGAGCCTAGAGGCCAAAGACCACTTTGAAATTGAGCAAAATAAGAGATAAAGACAAGCTTTATCATTTCTGATTCCAGATCATTCCGAAGGCCCCAGCCTGAGCTCAGAGCCTCCTGGGGCCCCTGAGAGCCAGGGCAGTCCAGCGTCCTCCTCCTCCAGCCTTACAAGCCCTGTGGAACTTGGCGGTGCCAACCAAACCCCACCCAGCTCTGAAGAGGGCCTCTTGGATCCGCCGAGCACCTCCCGCCCCAGCCTGACATCTGGAACCACCCCTGCAGAGACGTATCCCCCAGTCAGGTTCAGGTCGGTGAGAACCCCGCTGTGCAGCCTGGGCGAGTGTCCTGACCTCTCTGAGCATCCTTTCAGTTCCCCACCTCCAAGCTTTGTCTGCCTGAAGACTGGGATACCTTCCAGCTCTGAGGCCTGGAACTAATACAGAAATACTAGACCATAAATGGAGGGTGGTTGGACCGCTTTCCCCCTTACACACATGCTCCCGAGTCTGGCCTGGAGTGTTGACTAACAACCTGGCACCCTGAAAGCTGAAGCTGGAGTAGAGAAGACTTAATCCCATCTGTGTGGCTTGTTCTAGGGACTGTCAGTGGAGTCCTCACTCTGTCCCCACCTTCAACCCCGGATCCAGTCCTCTCTTCCTTATAAACCCTTTCATTTTGGAGTTTGGGGAGTAGACATGGGGAAATTTCCAGAGCTCTCCAGAGGTCAGTTCCTGGCCTCTGGGGCCTGTGACAGACCCAGCCGGGGGGACTTGTGGACTCTCCCCACCCGCCCTAAGCCCCCCAGCCTTGTTCTACACCTGAGCCCTTTCTCTCTGCTCTGAGGGCGGGGGAGCTCTGTGGGCATCGGGGTCCCATGGGCTTTTCCCTGCTTTCCAGCTCCGAGAGCACGCGCTCCTACCGGCGCGGGGGCGCCAGAATCTGGAAGACTGCCCCTCAGCCAGGCAGCCCCTACCCAGAAGGAGCATGCCAGTAGGTAGGAGCTCAGGACTGCGGTTTGAGGGGAGAGGACGGAATGCCTGGGAGGCGGAGTTGGTCAAGAGGGGCTGTATTAGGGTGGGAGACCCCTCCCCACGATTGGGGTGCATCTGGGCCGAGGCAGCCAGAGCTGGTCATCTCTTGTCCTGGTGCCCCTCTTCCCCTGCTCCAGCCCGGGCGGAGTGAAGCAAGGGAGAGCCTAGGCCTTGAGGGAGGGCAGAGATGATGAGCCCAAGCTCTGGCGCTCCCCAGGAGAGGATGAGCAAAGCTGCATCAGCTGGGCTGGCTGCTCAGCTAGAAGGAATCGCTTCCCTTGCAGCTGAGGCAGGACTAGGGTGGCTGTGGACCAGCCCTCGGTTTGCCTGCACTCTCCCCTTGTACAAGGGGCTCCTGCAGTCTGCTGAGCCTGCCAGCTCCCGGGCAGAGAGGATGTGCATCTGCGTAGTTGAGGAACCTGGGAGTGGCCAGGGACAGTCAGCATTGGGAAGGACACCTCTGTTGCTCGTTCCCCTGGGAATTCCTCAGGGGTGGCGTTGGTGGTCTGTGTTAGGAGTGGTGGAAGGCAAGGGCAGGAGCTGGGCCTCTCGGGAACTGTCATTCTCGGTCCATCAAAGTCAGGCACTAAACACAAATCTGGGTCCCCAGCCAGGTATCCATCACCCAGCGTTTAGCGGATGCCTGTTGTTGAAGCATGTATGATAATAAGATCCCTAGCCTTAGAGTGAGGAGACTTGGGCGAGTGGCTTCACTTCTTCAAGCCTCAGCTTCATTGTAAAATGGGAATACTTTTATTACCTACCCCCATATTATGATATAAGTTCATCACAATAGGACAGTGTGAAACTGAGTGAGATAAACAGCTGGTATATAATAAGTGCTTAGAAAATGCCAATTTTCATCCTTCTCTCCTCAGGTTGGCTTCACGGAAGGAGAGGGCTTAAGAACTGGGGTTCTCCCGGCAAGTTCTGTGCAGCTTTTGCAAGACTAGCTCCTTGCTGGCCCTTGCACGCTTGAACCACCATCTTGCTGGACCCTGACGATCAGAGCCAGGACTTGAGCCCATAAGACTGGGGAGCCGAGGTGTTCATCTCTTTGGGTCTTGCTCTCTCTGTCCCTGTGCCTCTGCAGCTGGCCTTCCTCCCTGCCACGGGCCCATGCCCCTGCCAAGGACACTGTGTTAGGGCTGATGGTGGTTCTTTCCCCTCTATCTTATTAACCTTCCCCCCCAACCCCCACCCCGCCGGTGCAGGGAGCCCTTTGGCTGGATCTGAGTGCTCCTGAGCTAGCTTCACTTGCAGGCCCTCAGCCGCCCATCAGACCAAGACTCCGTTTCATCCTTCAGTCTGGGGGCTTCCCAAGAATGGGACCAGCCAGGCTTCATCATGCTCCAGAGCCGGGATGCTACCAGACTAGGGACACCTCCTTGTGCATTCATTAGTATTTCTTTGCTGAGTTCTGGCTCTCTGTCCGGACCTCTACAAGGCACTGCAGATGCCACATGAATAAGACAAGGGTCCTGTGGATGTGGCCCCTTGCTGGGAAGCTGGTCCCAGGGGCTGAGCTTGGGAATGGGCAGGGCAGGTGGTTTTGGGATCAGGGCCAGGCTGACAATCAGCTGTATGACATTGCGGTCGTCTGCGGCCCGCCCATATCCATTCTGGCTGGTCAGTGTCCATGCTGCGCTTACTTCCCATTAACTAACTATTCTGAACATCGCTCCTTTTGAGGGACAGCACAGCCTTCCCAGGACCTCTACAATATTCCCAGCTGTGAAGCAGAGTAGGACTCTCTGCTTCTTGGCAGTGGTGGCAATGGGCACCGCAGCAGCCCGGCCTGGAGGCTGGGCCGTTTTCCCTGGAGACCTGACTGTTCTGTGATCCCCCAGGAACAGAGATGGCTTCGGAGCCCCCGGTGTCTGGACTTGTTCTTTTACTCATCTCTAATAAAAAATGTATTTTTCTTTCTTTTTTTTAGCAAATCCCAGTGTTTTTATTTATGTAATCTGAAGAGCAATAGGGAAGGGGAGAGAACCTTAGGGCTTGGAAACCTTTCTTGGGACCCAGTGAGGGAGACAGCCTGGGGCAAAATTGCCCCAAGGGACACGTGGTTACTGCTCCCAGTGGGATGGTGCTACTGGCATTTAGTGGCTAGAGGTCAGGGTTGCTGCTAAACACACTACAATACACAGGTCAGCTCCCCACAACAATGAATTTCCTGGCCCAAAATGTTACCAGTGCCGTGACTGAGAAACCCCAGAGTGGAGGAAAGAGCACCAGTCTAGGAGTGAGGAGACCTGCCGTTTAGCTCCGCTCAGTTCTTATCTCAACTTGATTTTCCCTGAGACGCATATTTGGGGTCAAGTAGTTTATATGTGAAGTGATCCCAGGAAACATAAGGAGGGAGTAGGGAAGTGAAACAGAAGATGAAGAAGCAGCGAAGGGTGTGTTAATGAGGGGCTATCACCATGAGTATCTGGGCTTACTTTATTGACGACCTTTGAGAGACTGTATAGATAAGAACATACCTTCAAGTTGTCCCAGTTAATGAAGAAATTGATTAACTACCAACTCTGGTCTCTTTTATTTATGTATTTATTTTTTAAAGCTTGTGTGTGTGTGTGTGTGTGTGTGTGTGTGTGGTTTTATTTATTTTTAGAGAGGGAGAGGAATGGCATGTGTGGTTGCCTCTCGTGCACCCCCTACTGGGAACCTAGCCCACAACCCAGGCATGTGCCCTGACTGGGAATTGGACCGGCAACCCTTTGGTTCACAGGCTGGCACTCAATGCACTGAGCCACACCAGCCAGGGCTTTTTAAAAAAGATTTTATTTACTTATTTTTAGAAAGAGGAGAAGGGAGGAAGAAAGAGGAAGAGAAACATCAATGTGAGAGAGAAATCAGTTGGTAGTTGCCTCTCATACACACCCCGACCAGGGACTGAACCTGCAATCCTGGCATGTACCCCAACCAGGAATCGAATCAGTGACCCTTTGCTTTGGGCAACAGAGCCCAAGCACACCAGTTAGGACGGGTTTCTTGGTTGGGAAAGCCCTTACTGGGGGGGTCACTTCCCAAGCTCTTCCAATCTGCCTCGGAGCCCTCAGTCAGAGATGTGGGAAGATGTCAGAAGCATGTCCAGGAATTGCCTGCAGGTGACCTCCGGGAGGACAGGTAGGCAGAGGGAGTACAAACGGGCACCAGCTGTTTCTGAGACAGTTGAACAGTGCAAGCCTGGGCCTCTCTGGGCCTCGGTCTTCCCATCTGTGCCATGAAGGAGTTGGAGTCGTTTTTCTGAAGTGCTCTGAGCCCCGATGATGGAGGAGTCTTGGCTTCTTTTATTGTCATACATCTCAGAATGGGAACTGGGTGGAAGTTTGTGGAAAATCCAATTTATTTGTTAACGAATGATCTTTAATTGAACTATTTTCTTCGTTGTCCTTAACTAGCCAGGCATGCCGCTGCCCCACTGCTGATGTCACGAGGGCGGCAGCCATCAGTGTTGCGGCCCCAGACTGGGCCGGCCTCAGGATCTCTTCAGTGGTTCCAGAGAGTTCTCTAGCTAAAGATGGGTGACACAACTGTTGGGCAATGTCGACAATCTCATTAAAAGTGATATTTCCACTGTGTTTAATTTTTTTTTCTTCTTTCTGTCTCATGGCCGTTCTTTGAGGGCTTTGATGATCAGGGCAGAGGGAGAAGACACTACCTCAGTCAGCGCCTGTCGGTTCCGAATGGCCAATTTCACTATAATCCTCAGACCCTTCCAATCACCAGCTGTGTTGGCGATGTCATCACCAACATTTTTTGGAGGCAGAACGGAGGGGGCGGGGGGGCGACCTAGGGGCCCAAGGCAGATGTGTCACTGACTCCTCACCGGTGCAGAGGCAACCGGCGTCGACGCACCTGGATTCAGGATGACTGAAGAAAAGTTGCACCTAGGCCTCCTCCAAGCCAAAAGCTGAAAGCAATTTTTTTAAAGGCGATCCTAAGTAACTGCAGACAGCTGTCCCCTCAGCCTAGAGGGGCTTGTTGGGGGTTGGTCAAGAGACCTCCCTAAATCCCAAACTGCTAGTCTAACCTCTTAGAGGTAGCCTACAGCACTCTGGCCCTGGGGCCCCGCCCTCCTCCGACTTTCTGCGCCCTTTCTCCCCTGCCCCCTGCTCCCCTGCTCCCCTCACCTCTGCTCCAGCCACACCGATTTTCCAGTTCCTCCAACTCTGGCACGCTAAGCACCCTCCCATCCCTAAGCTTAGCACTTCTGAAACTCCAGGAGGACTGCTTTGTTCCTCTCTAGATGCACAGGGCTAGAACCTCCTGGCACATAGTAGGTACTTGATAAATATGTGTTGAATGAATGAATGTTTCTTCTCTTACTGTGAACACTCTCTCCTCCCTCCAACTCCTGCTCTGCACTTCTGCCCAAAGTTTAAATTTAATTTCTTCAGAAGAGATGACACCCCCTCAAGTGTGTCCTTAAGGTATCCTCCCCTTCTCCCTGCCCCTCACGCTAGTTGTGACAATATAGAACAGATGGAAGATTTCTCCAGCCCACGCACCCAATCTCAAGCTTGCTGGGACTGGGTCTGTCTTGTTGGTTGCTTGAACCCCCCACACATTTCTGAATGAATGAAAAACATCCCCGCTTCCTACCTTGGTCCCAGGACACGCAGCAGCAGCCCAAAGCCAGATGAGCCCACACTAGGCTGTCTGTGTGACTAGGCCTGGGGGAGGGGGGCGGGGGCGAGGTCCTCTAAGGTTCTCTCAGGAGAGTCTGGAGATTTCACTGAACACTCCAAACCACAGCTCCCCACCCCGCACGCACTGTGGACCACTGTTCATGCCTTCCCTCCAAAAGATAATTTTCTGCCAATTAAACTCTTTTGTTTAGGAAGAGATCTGGGTCTGCTGGAGACCCTTGGAAGGTCCTTCCTCAGAAACAGATGTGTGCACAGCTGCGGTGGCACAATCCTGTTTCCTCCTCTCCACCCAAGAGGACCCTTCCAGGCTCCCTCCCGTGGGGGTCGGGGCGGCGGGCAGTGCCCGGGCCCCGAATAGAGGGCGCCCACGCACCTGGGCCAGCATTTCTCAAAGTTGGGCGCACTTAATCTGCCAAGCCCTCACTACTCAAGGCAGCCCTAGACCGGGCAGCACAGAACGTGGTTCTTCTGCAGGACCTTGTTAAACCTGGCAAAATCTAACGGTTCTAGAGTAGTCAGAAACAGAGGGCCTGGATACGCGTGCGCACAGGATGTGAGTGAGCACAGGGTCGGGCACAGTTTGGTGTAATGATCACGCCCAAAAATGTGATCTGAGTGCACCAAGCTGCCTCCACTTGGGCACAGGCACGGAGCTGGGTCCGCCCGCTTTGAGCTGTAACGGTGCAGATACGCGGGAGTCCTGAACTCTTGCCGGAGCTCCCGGGGCACACTCAGGCGCCCTTCTCGCCGTGACAGCCTTTTGTGTCCCGGGACGACGGCCTCCGGACTCGCCAGAAAGCCCTCCTGCCCAAACCTCGCTCAGTTCCCGATCCCCCCGGGAAGGGCCAGAGGAGAAGAGCCCTCTCTCGAAGGCTCGTCCCGCTCAGGAGGCCCGACCGGCCGGCGCGGGCAATCTTTGCCCCAGCAAGTCCTTGAAATCTATATTTAGTGCACGCCACCCCTCCCCCACCTCGGAGGCAGGCGGGCGGGGAGGGGGGGACCCCGCCCCCGCCAGGCGTGTGTGTCGTGTGTATTTGCGTCCCGCGCGTGTTGCACGCCCTCCGCCTCTGCGCCTCCCGCCCCCGAGGCCCGGCTGCTGCCCCAGCGCCCCTCGCCCCGCCGGGCGTCGTGGGCCAACATGGGCCAGGAAGAGGAGCTACTGAGAATCGCCAAAAAGCTGGAGAAGATGGTAGCCAGGAAGAACACGGTAAGGCTGCAGAGTTTGGGCCACAGCGTCCGACCCCGGGAGGCGCGGCGCCGACGAGCCCGAGAGTCCCGGACGAGCGTGCTGGCGGGGCGCGGGGGAGGCGCGCGGGGTTGAGGACCCGAGGGAAACACCGCCGGCGCCAGGCTCGGCACCCTTTGGGGGACCGCTGGGCACCTCAGAGTGGGCGTGTGCGTGGCTCGGGGCGCCGGGGGTGGGGATCGTGCGGGCCCCGAAGATAAGGCTTGTGCACGTCCCTATGGACATGTAGGGTTCGGGGGTCCCGGGGTAGCTTGTACCGGGAAAGCGAGGGAAGAGATCGGGACCTGAAAGAGGACTTTCCGCGTCCCGGGACGGACGACGTGTGCAAAGCCGGGGGAGTGGCGGCGACGGCGGGGTGGAGGGAACAAAATCCTGGTGGCCCCAAGAAGTGTCAAAGAAACTTGAGCTGACGAGGGGCGGTGAGCCGCGTCTGCCCCGCACTGGGGAGTGGATCTGGGCGGGAGAAGCAAAGGGCCGCGGATTCCGGGACCCCACGGTGTCGGGCGCAAGGAGCGGTTCTGTTTGCAATTTTCCTTTTCCCTGGCCGCGGGGTGGGGCCTGCGCCGGCGGGGGCCGAACAGGTGCGGGGCAGCCGCAGCCCTCGGGGCCCGCGGGGGGAGGGGAGGGGGCCGGCTGGAGGCCTGGGCTTTGCTCACCGACCCTCAGTTTGAATCGGGGCTGGCGGTCCTGCCTAAGGATTCCCGGAGCCCGGAGCGCAAGCCCACTTGAAGTTAATGTTTGATCCTTCCCGTGATCTTTGCCTTCAGGCTGGCGCCGCGGGATTGCCCGGCCAGAGCAAACCTGGCCTTCGTTCTGGGAGGATCGGGGCACACCCGGACAGGGAAAAGAGGGGAGGGTAGCCCAGAGAGCCTGCCCCTCGGCCCCCCATCTCTCCCTGACCCAGGGCCCTCCTCCTCTCACCGTCCATAGCCTTGTGCTGGAGCAGGACTGGCCTTTCCGGGGCCTTCTGCGACCCTAGGAACTTGGAAAAGGGATGGACTTAGAGCACAGAAAAGAGAAGGGTCGCTGGAGCCCTGGAATGTGGGGCAGAAGCCCTAGAGTAGCCATGGGCAGTAATGCGCTGATGTTGACATAGAGGCCAGAGCCTCAGTTTCTTCCTCTGTAAGAAGGAGCTGAGATGACCTACCGTCTGGGAAGGAGCGTCACTGGATTTTTGTCTCTGCTCTTGGTGGTGAGGGTGGAAGAGATGTAAAATCCTTAGCAGGACCTGGGATGGTGCTAGCTAAGAGTTAGAGATGAGACCCGCTTCTGCAAGGCCAGATGAAACAGAAACCTGCAGAGTGCTGGCAGCTTCTCACCCTTACATTCCCCGCCTCCACCCGCCCCTAGTCTGGGATCTTCCAAAGTCAGTGAAACTGAGCCTCAAGTCATGGGGGGCACTTCCAACTGGGGGCAGCAGAGGCCAACCCCAGTCTTCTGAGCTAAATTCCACAGGAAGTAGACAGGTTATCCCAGCCCTGCTCCTTGCTGACTCAGGTTTAGACCAGGAGGTTCTGGGTCTCTGCATGAGGGAGGTAGAGGGTGGGGGATGGGTGGGGAAGCTTAGGAGAGCTGAGAAAAGCAGCTTGGTTGGCAGTAGAGCTCTGGTTGAGAAGGAAGGGACTGGCTGTGGCTTCCCCTCACTCCACTATGGCCATAGGTCCACCCCCTACTTCCCCTTTCTGGGCCTGGGTTTCCTTTTCCATAAAAAGGGAAGAGGAAATGGTATTCCTTGGAATGCATTCCTGTGGAAGTATTCAGAGCTCTCTCCAGGAATGGTGCAAATCTGGCCACAGGGTCTCTGTAGCTCAGAGCCAGCCTGCAGCCACGTCTGTGCCTGGGCTTTCTGCAGCCTCTGAGTGGGCACAGAGCTCTGGGCATGGGATCAAGAAAGGTGGGGCTTGCTCTGGGAGTGAAAATGGGCTCCGCCAGGGGTGGTTAGGGAGAGGAGGACACACTTCCTGTTGTAAGACGGATCCTCCACCCTCCACGTTGCAGCTCAGGCCCAGGGTCTACTGCCAATTACTGAGGGCCCAGCAACTTAGGGCTTTTGTCAGATGCTGTCAGTGTGCAACCATTGAAGCAGCTTCAAACACGCAAGCACCAAGTCACAGCTACACATACACACAAAGACACACAAAAATATAGCTACACACACAGTCACACACAATGCTAGCCAAACAAGCAACTATGAACATAATTGCTTATGAGACATGGCTTCTGACCCGAACATGACAGATATACTGACTGTTATATTTACAGAAAAAAACACAGAGACAACTATACATGTGGGTACATGTGTACATGCAGTCAATAAGCAATACTGAGACGTGCAAATCTACAAACTTAACAGTTACACTTACACATTTGGACGTTACAACGCAGGCCTCATCCCACAAATGCGCTTCGAGCTGCACACCTACAGCTGCACGCCTGGACCGGAGGTACTGCTGGCTACATCCCGTGCATGCATACCGATGCACACGTGGCAGTGCAACACTCGCACAAGGCTTCGTGAGCACAGCTACAAGCAGGAGAAGGCTCATATTCTTCACTATGACTCAGATGTACAGTGTGGCCTACAGAGACACGTGCCTAAGGAGGAGATAGAACCAGTTTAACATTCATGGTTAAACTTTCAGGAATTTTGTAAGTCTTGTTAATACAGCCATTATTTTAAAAATTAAACTATAAGTTTGCAATTAAATAAATTATATTAAAAACAAGGCCCATAGCTCTGGTGGGTGGCCTAGTTGGAGCGACATCCTGTGCACCGAAGGGTCATGGGTTCGATCCCAGTCAGTGCACATATCTAGGCTGCAGGTTTGATCCTCGATCAGGGCGCGTACAGGAGGCAATTGATCAATGGTTCTCTTTGACATCAATGTTTCTCTCTCTCTCTCTCTCTCTCTGTCCCTTCCTCTCGCTCTAAAATCAATAAACATCCTCAGGTGAGGATTAAAAAAATAAATAAAATAAAAAGCATTAAGGCCTTCAGGAAAAAAAAAGGTAATAAATACTCTAAAATCATCATTTCCTAATTATCTTACTATCATCTATGGTCTAGAGGTTATTTACTTCTATTACATCAATATGGTGGGAATACTATATAATGGCATGTTACTCGTCAATATCTCCTTCAGCTCAGTGACAGCATGCTTATAATTTAAAATTGGCTGTGGGAAGAGTATTTACACCAGAAATCAGCAAATAATTCAGATCATGTTTTTCTTTTCCCTTGAGAATTGGTTGTTAGACATTGACCAGCATACCACTGCACTTCCCCGTGCTGATAGTCCATGACTGTATAAATCTGGACAGATGGATGTCCATACCTACACAGTTGTTGTATAGTGGTTCGAGCCTGAAATGCCTGAGTTTGGATTCCAGCTCCATTCCTTGTAACTTTAGGCAAATTATTTAACCTCCCTGTTTCTTGGATTCCTCTTCTATGAAAGTGGGACAATCTATAAAAATGGGAATAGTAAGAGTACCAACCTCATAAGGTCATTATAAGAGTTAAACAAGGTAATGCATGTAAAATAGTTAAGACAGTGTCCAGCACATTGGAAGCCTTTAATTAATGTTACACACAGAGTTATATGCCCACAAGTTTACATGTACATACAAACCCACAGGTCACACCTCTGAAAACATACTGTGAACCCAGGCGCTGAGGGAGGCTGAGGACAGGCAGCCCTTGGGACGCGGTCCAGGAAGCCTGGCGGGGGCGTACAGGACACAGTCAGCTGGTGCTCCCCAGGGAAGCAAACTCAGGACAGGAGGCTGGGGCTGGCTTCTAGGAAGTGGGTGGGAGGAAGGAGAAAGCTGAAATGGGTCAGAGGCAGCCAGCAGATTTTCAAATGTAAATCTCCTTTCTTCCCCGCCCCGTCTCCCCTCCTACCCTCTGCTTTCTGTTTGATTCATTCACTCAGGGAGCCACGTGCTGAACCCTGAGGTCTCTGAGATTAAAACAGTCCTCTTTACTCAAGAGAAATGAAAGTGAATGTTCACACAAAGACTTGTACATGAATGTTCCTTGCAGCCTTATTTGTAGTAGCTCCAAACTGGAAACCAGAGAGAGTCCATCAACGGGTGAACGCATAAACAAACTGGTATATACGTACAATGGAAAACGACTTAGCAGTGAAAAGGAACTGTTGACATACACAGCAATGTGGATGAGTTCCAAATAACTACGCAGAGCGAAAGAAGCCAGACCAAAAGGAATCTATTATATTACCCTTGACATACATTCCTTAAAAACGCAAGCCCATCTATCATGACAAAAACTGGCGTGTATTTGCACACTGGGTGGGGGGTGGGGGGGCATGGGGTTGGTGGTGCAAGGAGGAAACTTTGGGGGATGATGGCTATGATCTTATCTTGACTGTGGTGATTGTTTTATGGGTGTACACATATGTCAAAACTCATCAAATTGTAGCCTGCAATATGTCCAGTTTATTGCATGCCAATTATACCTCAATAAAACTGTAAAAAAAGAAAAAGCCACTCTCCTCTCCCTGCTTAAGCTCGCAGTTGGAAAGTGAGGAGAGGAAGAGGATACAGACACAAAAGCAATAATGATAAGCTGCAAAGTAATTAATTTTAGAGGAAGAGATGGGGAAGAAGAGAGTATATGTAGAGGAAAGAAGAGCAGAACCAAGAGCTAGGGGTCGGGGTGAGTGGTTAGGGCTGAAGGCCGGCTCAGAGGGGCCCAGCCTGGGGGACAGGGAGGAAACAGAGAGCTGATCTGGAGCAGAATCTTTTCCTCCTCTCTCCTTCTCACTGTCCCTTGCCTGTCCTTCAACTGCGTGTCTGCCTGTATCCTGGAGCTGGAACAGCCTCCTCCCTACTTCCTCCCCTCCTCTTTCCTACTGAGACCCCGCAATGATCAGAGAGGGACCTGGGGCAGAGCCCTCGGCCCTCAGTTCTCACCTTGTGGCCTCCCACAGGAAGGGGCCCTCGACCTTCTGAAGAAGCTGAACAGCTGTCAGATGTCCATCCAGCTACTCCAGGTGGGGTGGGGGTAAAAAGCTCTGGGGATAGTGTTGGCCGGGGGGGGGGGGGGTATCGACCTTCCAAGGGGGGGAACCTGATGGGGGAAGACCCCCAAGGGTGGGGCCCTGGGGGGAACTTCTGAGCAGAGGGCTGGAGAATCCTGAGGTACTCTGAGGGTGGGGACGCGGTCATTTCGGTGGGGACAGGGGACCTTCCAAGCACAGGGGACTTCTGGGTCTGGGAGGAAGACTAATGTGCTTTCCTTGAAAACCACATTCCCAAGGCCCTGGGCTTGTGGGATCCAAGAAGCCAGTGATGCAGGGAAAAGCCCTCCACTTTTCAGTCATCCCTGTGTTGCCCATATAGCCCCCAAATATTACCAAACGCTCTTGGCCCTGAAAAAAATTAGCACAAACCCAAGTTTTAGTCAGAGCTGTGTCTTAAGCTGAAATGAGTTCAAAGACATGCCTCCAGCGCACCAGGGGGCCGGAACCGGGAGGGGCCCTCGTCGTCAGCCAGACCCCCGCCAAGCCGCAGTTACCTGTCAGCGCGGGGGCTGGGCCTGGGGCACTGGCCCTCACTAAGGATGGCAGGTCGGGGCCTCAGTGACAGGATCAGGGTTATTTCTCAGCCACAGGTCAGGCCAGGGCCAGGGCGGGGAGTGGGGTGGGGGGTGCGGCTGGAGAAGTTGAGGTTGGGGAAGGGGGTGGCTGAGCCAGGGCAGATCTTGCCAATTAGGGCAGCCAGTCCTGTGTTTCTTCCCAGATCAGCCCCTAACCCTCTCACTTTGCAGACAACCAGGATTGGAGTCGCAGTTAATGGGGTCCGGAAGCACTGCTCAGACAAGGAGGTGGTGTCCTTGGCCAAAGTCCTCATCAAAAAGTGGAAGCGGCTGCTGGGTGAGAGGGGGAAATGTTGACTGGGACCCTGTTTTCTCTCCCAGCACCTGGCACAGGACTGTGCCTGGCTCGTAGCAGGCACTCAGTGTATGTTTGTTGAATGACTTAACAAATGACAGATGGTCTCTAGTGGTGAGTGTCAGTATTTGTCTGCTCAAGTGCGAGATTTGTCGTTATGTAAGTTTTCATGTACATGTGCCTGTGTGTGCATTTCTGTTCGCTGTGTTTGTACATCTATATATGCATACTTGTATGAACATGTGCATAGGTGTGTGTGCAAGTGCCTTTCTGTCCCCGTGTGTGAGCGTGGATTTGCACACAGATGTGCATTTTGTACATGCATCTGTGTATAAGTATGTATATGCATTGGGGGAGTGTGTGGCTGTCCTTGTCCCTGCCCTTTGCTCCTTCCTCCCCTCAGCCATACTGGGTTCAGCTGAAACAGAGCTGAGTGAGCAGTGCCACCGCCCCTTTGCTTTCAGACGCCCGTGGGTCCCCCAAAGGAGGAAAAGGAGAGGAAAGAGAAAAAGCCAAGAAGAAAGAAAAAGAACTTGACTGTTCCAATTGGAAGCCAGAGGCAGGCCTTTCTCCACCACGGAAGAAACAAGGGGAAGAGCCCAAAGACAGGTAATTTTTTTCTACGATGGGGAAGGAATATACATACCTTTCACCCAGTATATCCACTATAAGGAAATTATATTAAGACATTAATCCGATAAAACATAAAGATGTATGTTCTGTTTGTAATATTTTTCAGCTGGTGTTCCTGAAACATTTTTCCTCTGAACCCTCTTTTTCTTTTTTTTTTTTTTTTAAGATTTTATTAATTTTTTTAGAGAGAGGGGAAGGGAGAAAGAGAGGGAGAGAAACATCTCTGTGTGAGAGAAACATCGATCGGTTGCCTCTCACACGCCCCCTGCTGGGGGCCCGGCCAGAAACCCAGGCCTGTGCTCTGAGCAGGAATCAACTGGCCACCTTTCAGTTCACAGGCCCGCGCTCAACCCACTGAGCCACACCAGCCAGGGCTGACCCCTCTTTAAACGAATGTTTATTATAATCTTATACTATAAGTCTCCTGTGAAAAACACTTTAGGAAATGATGCTGTAAGAGGAACGATTCTTGACCAGGAGGGAGGTATGCCTCCACCACTGCACTCCCATTTTGGGTTGTAAAAATAACTGTGGGGCTGAAGGAAGGCTACATGCTGCTCTTCCTGCAATGCACAGAGCAGTCCCACACATCGAAGATCCATCTATCATGTTCAGAACACCAGCAGTGTCTCATGGAGAAGCACTGCAGGACAGAAGAATGTTTAATGACATGGGAAAATCTTCATTCGGTATTAAGAGAAGCCGTGTACTATATAGCATATATAGTGTGATCCCATTTTTATAAAAACTAAGTGAATTTTATGTATATGCATAGGAGAAAAAATGAGAGAGCTATACACCAGGGTGGTAACGGTGATTATTTCTTTTTTTCAACTCTTTATTTTAATTTACTGAATTTTAAGAGAGATTGAGAAACATTGATTTGTTGTTCCACTCATCCATGCATTCACCAGTTGCCTCTTATATGTGTCCTGACCAGGGATCAAACCCATAACCTTGATGTTTCAGGGTAACGCTCTAACCAACTGAGCTACCTGGCCAGGGTTTGGTGATTATTTCTAATAGGTAAGGCTTAGGAGGGGTTTTTCCTTATTTTTGCAAATTCCTATCCAATTTTTTTCCAGTAAATAATGTATTAATTTTGAAATAAGAAAAAAATAAAGCTATTTTTAAAGCTATTTATTTATTTTTAGAGTGAGGGGAAGGGAGGGAGAATGAGAGGAAGAGAAACATTGACATGTAAGAGATACATTGATCGGCTGCCTCTCGCAAGCCTGGGGACCTGGCCTATAACCTAGGTGTCCCAAGTGGGGATTGAACAGATGACCTTTCAGTTTGAGGACTGACATTCAGTCCGCTGAGCCATGCGAGCCAGGGCAAAGATATTTTTTAAAAACAAAAATATATGTGATTATAACTAAGAGCTTCATATTCTATATTATACAACAAAATTTGTATTCATATTGTTGGATATGGATATTTTCCCACAAAGATCCTGTATTGCTTTTGAAATCAGAACAAAAAATAGCACTTTAAAAAAAATTAAACAAGAGTGATAAAAATTTGTTGTAGAAATAATGAAAAATAGGGAAAAACCATTCACACTCCTACCACCCAAAGACAATTGCTTTTAATATTTCGGTATATGATTTTTCTTTCTATTCTCTCTTTGACTTGTTTTCTATAGTTATCATTCATTTTATAGCTTGCTTTTTAAAATGCTGCTACCTGTCACATGGTTCTATAATCACTTCTATGTTCTCTTCCTGGCCTTGCTCACTTTGCAGTGGCATCCGACTCGGAGAAATCCTAATTGACATTTAACTTCTCCCATGGTGTACTTTGTATTCCCAAAGGGCTTAGGAGGTTGGCTGGCAGGGATCCTCTGATCCACAGTGCCCAGCACAGAGTGAACATTTCCTGAATGCTGCTGGGCCCAGCTGTACCAGCGCCTCCGCTGTGGGCATTCACGCTCTGGCTGGCCCAGCCATGTCTGGACCACCTGTTTGGTTGTGAGCCCTGTGGCAAATGAAGGAGCACGATAGGGAGGGGTCTTGTGAGATGACGCTGAAAGACTAGAGGCTGGACTATTGGGAGAGAAGACCAAATGGGATATAAACTAAGCTGCAGAACAGGGATGCAGATATCATGGTAAGATGGCAGCTCGAACCCACGCGTTTCCTGTGCTCCATCTCCAAATCCCACTAAATGATCAGCAGAGTAGTCTTTTCTAAAGGCCTATAAAAGGACAACAGATATGGCTGAGGAGACGGCTGGAAAGCAGAAATTCTGGGCTTAACTTGATGACTTACTTACACCCTTTGTCTCTGAGACTCTGTATTGTGGCCTGAAAAATGGGCAACGTTATCTCAGTTTGTTCTTCCTCAAAATAAAATGTTTTATTTTAATATATTTTAATTATATGTATTGTTTTAACTATTTTGTATTATATTTATTTTATTATACAAGTAATTACTTGCTCATTGTAGAAAATTTTAAAGATATAAATAGGAAAATTAAAACCATTCATTATCTAGAGACACACAAAAGTGTTTATATAACCATGTACATATAATAATGTGTATATATACATATGTAGTGTATACAATCACATATATATCCTTCTAGACTTTTAGCTATGCATCATCACCACCCATAAAATATTTATTGTATTAATAAAATTGAATTATATTTTATACACTATTTTGTAATCTTTCCACATTTATTTCAACAGTAAATCATGTTTAGTGTAAGATATTTAGAAAAGCAAACATAAGAGAATAATATTACTGTTAACATTTTGCAGTATATCTATCGTCTTTTAAGAACATATTTATGTACACTTATATTTTCTTAATAAAATTGGAATCACCCTCTATATACAATTTGGCAACCCGCATTTACACTTAACAACGTCTTGAACTTTTTGCTGGGAGGTGGAATTGCTAATGTGCGCTCACTTGTCACAGCTGTGACGCTATGATACAAAGCTGTCAATGTGGCTGAGCGGAGAGTGGGGTAGTTGTCTCCTCACCTTGCTGGGTGAATCCAGTTGGCAAGGGTCCTACTTCAGCTAAATTGGTGAACTTCTTTCCTTTTTAGTTTTCTTAATGATAACTGATCATCATTATTTATTATATAATCACTGAAACCACGTTAGTGCAATTTGAAATAAGAGTTAAATATATTTGTTCACAGTGGGCCACCTCCAACAGATGAAGCAGTTTTTATTTTTTCCTCTTTTCTCCCAGTCCTGAGCTACTCGCGTACATAGTTTTTCCATTCCTGTAGGTGGCGTGTACAAACTACTGTGTTCTTGTTACCTTATCTTCCTGCTGTATTTTAGACATTTTTCCATGCTCCCGAAGAGTTTTCATAACGATCATTTACAATAACTGCGGAATATTTCTGATTCATTCTAAAAAGAAAAGCAGTGAGGAGGGACCTGAAAATGGTGAGGCTCGGGGGTAGAGGCTCCTGTCTTCTCTCCTTTCTCCGCCTGCAAGAGTTCCAGCTTCTCACGCCGGTCTGGACCGGTCAGTCCTCAGGGGGCACTCAGAGAGGAACCTGCAGAGGGGTTCCAGGGCCTGGCATGGGGCTGGAGGGGCGTGTGGATGAGGGTGAAACTTCCCCTCTCCCTCATTGCCGCCTCCCCCAGTCTTCAAGCTGGAGTGAAGGTCCAGAGCCTAGGAGTCTGGTCCGCGGGGTGGTTAGGGCTAGCCCCTAGCTCTGCGCTGCCCACTGTCCCCCAGACCATCTGGAGGATGAGGTGGGACCTGGAAATCCATGCAGAAACAGTGCGCAATCTGGACAACGAGAAACCAGGTGCCTGGGATAATGGAGCATCAGGGCTTCCTCGTGCTGGGAACTGCTGTGGGGACATGAATGATCTAATGTCTTCCTTCCAGGCAGCCCCAAGACATGGGTTCTTTTCTTCTCACTTGACAGGTGAGGGAACCTGACACTCAGAGAAATGACCTGCCCCGGGAGCAGGGCTGGGAATACAGCTCATATCATCACTCTCTTTGTACAATGATAAATGTTATATAGGTTTATATGCATGTCGAAAAAGATCTGGAAGGAAGGACATTAAACTTAATGGTTGTAACCTGTGGGGAGATTTGTTTTTCCCCTTTTTTAGGGTTTACATTTCTGTACTGTTTGACTTAATAGCATTCAGCAACAAATATTTATAGAGCGCCTACTCTTTGCCAGGCACTAGTCTATTAGCCTGGGATAAGTCAGTGAACATGTTAGGGTGCGTTCCCCAGAAGCAGGCCCTGAGACTTGCATTTCAGTGCAGGGGGGTTATTTGGAGAGTGATTTCAGGAAGTGCAGGCAGAGGAGTGAGGAAGGGAGACAGGGTAGGGAAGGAAGCCAGCACAGGGTGAGTTAGTGAGCAGGCTACTGCTGTGGGTGACCAGGGTGTAAATGCTGTTCGGGAACTGTGTGTGACAACTGGGGGCGGACCCACTTGAGAGCCCAGGACAATGGAATGCATACCCATCCAGCACCTGCGGCCCGCTGCCTGCTGGTGCTAACTGGAGCAGAGAGCTGTCTCAGGCAGACTGTGCCCAGGGGAGCTTGCAGGAGAAGGTCTGTGTGTGTCCCTGTACGCTGGGGGAATGAGTGCCCGAGAGGATAGGGCTCAGCAAGGACAGTGTCCACCGCAGTGAACAAAACCCACTGAACTCTGCTCTGTGCCATTTACGTGGCCGGGGGTGGGGGGTGGAGGACAATGCATACAATAAGTAAGAAAATTACAGTCAGTTAGAGGGCGACAGCTGTGTGGGAACCAGAAGGAGTGTTCGGTAAGTGAGCTGGGGAGTGGGGGCTGCAATTTACGCACAGATTAATTTTATAAAACCAATCCAAGAAAAAAACACATTCCGTTTCAAAAAGTGCATTTTGGAAGATGGGGGAAAGTTTCATCTCTAATCTGATCATCCTAATATAACCTTGGTTAACATTTGGGTGTATAGTCTTTCAATCTTCTGTCCTCTTAGGCGTTTTCTTGCAAGACTTCAGGCACAATATGCATCTAATTTGGTGTTCTGCTTTTTCCTTATTTTAACGCAACTCTTCTACCTCCAGGGCCCAGGTGCCTCTCCTCTCCTCCTCCCAAGGTGCCGGCAGGGGAGGCTGGAGAGGATGTCCAGTCCCTTGTGAGGACCGGCGATCCCGGGAATTCCAGTCTCCATGGACTCCAGCTTGCCAAGACCTGCCTGACAGCCAGGAGGAGAGGGGCCTGCTGAGGCTTAGCTTTTCATCCTTAGTAATACATGACATGACACGCGCAACACATCTGGCAGATATTCGATTTCCTTCCCTTGCATTGCTTCATTTGATGGGGGGTAGGTGAGGGTGACCCTCCAGCACCACCTGGAGCTTCCTCTCCCAGGTAGCAGTGCTCCAGGTGGGCTCTATCACCCTCAGCCCAGCCGGCCTGGCTCCAGCATGCTTTCTCTCCAGCCTCTGGCTTCTCTCGATCGGTACTGATGCGAGCCTAGGAGAGTCTCATCTTCGATTTCTCTTCTTTCAGGAGAGATTCTGTGGATTCCAAGTCTTCAGCCACCTCCTCTCCAAAAAGACCATCAATGGAAAGGTAAGGGAACCAATGGACTTCTCTATGCCAGAGGTTCTGTTCAGCATGTGTCCCTCTCTCTGCTTTAATGTGGGAAGCCCGAGGCTGGAGAAGGAGAAAACATCCTTTGTTACGTTGCCTCCAAAATCTAGAATCCATACAGTAAGACCAAGGGGGAGGGGAGGGAGGTTGGGATGGGATGAAAAAGGTGAAGGGGTTGCGAAATACAGGTTGGTAGTTACAGAGCAGTCATAGGGATGTAAAGTACAGCATAGGAAATACAGTCAATAATATTGTAATACCTATGTGTGGTGTCAGTTGGGTACTGGAAATATCAGGGGGAACACTTTGTAAAGCACATCATTGTCTAACCACTAAGCTGCACACCTGAAGCTAATACAAAATAATATTGAATGTAAGCTGTAATTGAAAAAAATTTTTAAATAAATATTTTTTAAAAAGACTAAGGAGGCCCCCGAATCTGAGGTGTCACTCCCTCCGTGCAGTGGCTGAGCAGTCACTGTTGTCCCACCCCTGCCTGGGGAACATTTTCAAGGTGAGCCTGTACCCGGTGAGGACAGAGGCCTTGAGAGCCTGTACGTGGGGTGGGATCTCTGGTTCGGGGCTGAACTGGTTAAGACATCTACCCCAGAGTAGGTGTCCTAATCAAGTCATTCCTTCATTCATCAGATATTTATTGAGGGCCTGCTACGTGCTGGGAACTGTTCTAAGTGCCATGGATACAGCAGTGGACGAAAGAAACAAAAATCACTGTAGCTATGAGGCCTATATTCTAAAAGAGGAAACAGCAATACATAGAATAAGTAAGTTATACACCAGTTTAGAAGGTGACAAGTGCTAAGGAAAACAACAGAGCAGGTGAGGGGAATTGGGAAAAAAACAATAATGGTTATCGGGTGGTCAGAAGAGCCCTCCCCGAGGACATGATCTTTGAGCACAAGCTTAAAATACCATGTAGACAGTGGGGTCATTCCAAACCTATGGAGCTGCTGGGTGGCCAGCGGGGCTGAAACGAATATGTGAGGGGGGAGAGTTGGAGGACAGAGTGAAGCAGGAACCACTAGAGGGTATTAAGCCTGTAGATTATATGATCAAACTTATCGGGACCCCTCTGGATGCTGTGCCAAGAATGGATTGTCGAGGCAGAAGTAGAGAGACCAGGAGAGAGACTATGTTGATAGTTCAGGCAAGATATGACGGTGGCCCAGGGTGGCAGTAGGTGGGGAGAAGGGGTGGGCTCCACTCCAGATACATTTTGAAGGCAGAGCTTATTGGATTTCCTGACAGATTGGATGTGGGCAACAGGAGAAAAAGAAGAGCCAGGATGACTCCAAGACTTTACACGTGGGCACCTATCTGCAAAGACGGAGTTGCCACTCATTGGTAGGGGGAGGACTGTGTAAATCAGGCTGCGGCAGGAGATCCAGAGTTTAGATTTGGATATTTTGGGTTTCAGGGGTGTACTGGTCATTGAGGCGCAGAAGCTGAATGAGCAGTTAGGTTATACCAGGCTGGAATTCAGGAAGAAAGTCTGGGCCGGAAATATACATTTTAGAGTCATTAGCGTTTAGCTAGCATTTGAAGCTGGGTGAGATCACTACAGAGAGAATGTGGGTAAAGGAGTGAGTGTGAATTGTAGTCCAGGAGGGAGCTCAGAGGTCAGAACAGGAGAAGCAGGGCCAAGGGAGAGCAAGACAGGCCAAGAACTGGCTTGGAGGTGGATGGAGGCAAATGATGAGGGTCCATGGGGCCATATTGGATGCTGGGACAAACAGGTGGGATGGTAAGGTTGACGTCTAGGTGAATACAAGTGGGAGATGCACAGCTATTTTAGGTTTAATGTACCTAAACCTGCCACTGGAAAGAAAAGAAGAGACACAAAAATTAGGTTGTTTAAGGCTTTATGGGGATTAAACTGGCCTGAGCTGCTGATCGGGCTGCGGTATTGCCCAATTCCAACTGGCAGCTGAGTGCCAGCTCCAGCTGATAGTGGAGGCTCTCAGAGCGCTGCTTGGGGAGGGAGTCCGAGGCTGCACCCTGCCTCTGGAGAAGGGAGTTCTGTGGTCCATTAGCAATGTCTTCCCTGAGTGAGGCCTAGGAGGCCCCAGCGTCATCCTGGCCCTAAACCAGTGGTTCTCAACGGAGAGTCGTTTAGAAATTTGTAGAAACATTTTTGGTTGTCACTGTGACTTGAGGGATATCATAGTCAGCTCAGGCTGCTATAACAAAATATCATGGACTGTGTAGCTTAAACAATAGGCATTTATATCTCAACGTTCTAGAGGCAGGGAAGTCCAAGATCAACGTGCTGGCTGATTGAGTTCCTGGTGAGGGCCCTCTTCCTGGTTTGCAGGTGCCCACCTTCTTGCTTCTTGCGCTGTCTGAACATGATTGGGGGAGTGTGCTCAGGTCTCTCTTCCTCTTCTTACAAGGACTATAATCCCATCATGGGGCCCCATCCTCATCTAAACCTGATTATCTCTCAAAGGCCTCACCTCCAAATACTATCACATTGGTGGTTAGGGCTTCAACCTATGAATTAGGTGGGGGCACAAATATTCTGTCTGTAGTGGGAGTGGGGGAGGAGCATTTAGTAGGCAACGGTCAGATAGGCTCAACATCCTGAGATACGAAGGGCAGCTCTGCATAATGACAGATTGTCCCATCCCAAAATGAAGCACTTACCGCTAATCCAGTTCTGGGTTTGATGCTGTAATATAAGCATTGAACATTTGTGGAAGAATTTATACCTTCAGAGTCCTCTCCTGACTTTGCCTGTGCCCTCGAAGTCTCCTGGCTTCCTCCCATAATGTAATCTTTTTTTTTTTGGAAGGTCAAATAGAATACATTTGACAGACAGTTGTGCCATCGCCTGCTGGTTCCATATTGAGGATGGGCAACCCACAGGGATAGAAGCAGGTCTTGTAAATTCCCTTTATCCACTACCCAGACTGTTTTCTGCACTCTCTACCTCATCTTCCTCTTCCGTCCATCCATCCGTCTGGTGTAACATTCTTTGCAAGCAGCATCCTCCCGGGGTCAAGAGCATGAACACACCCTGCGTGACTCTTGGGGACCAAGGAAAAATGGAGAGTAGCTGCCTGTCAGTAGGGGGCCCTCACTAGCCAGCCCCAGCTGGTGGTTGCTTTATGGAAATGCAGGCCCAGTGTGCCATGTCTTCTAGCTCTTTAAGGGAAACTGGACTTACAGATTTTTAAACAAGACTCCCAATTTTAAACATTGACAGCAAACTCACCTTTTTCTAAGACACAGTAGGACAAACAAAATGTATTTGTAACCCTGTTTGCAATCACTAAGGCCAGGCAAAGACTCAAACTTAATGACCTCTACCTTCATACAACTAATTACTAATGTAGAGGCAGACACCAAAATATTTGTTTTTTGAAGATATAACACACAACACATGGGAACATCGGAGGAGTGTGTCATTATGATTTGAGAAGTCAAAGAGACTTCATGGAAAAGAGAGTATTTGTGCTGAACATTGACAGGTGAGTGAATAGGAGTTTGCCTGGCAGACAGGTGCCAAGAGACGGCATCCCAGGCAGAGGGACTGGCGCATGCGAAGGCGTGGCAATATGAGTGAGCATGGCGCTCTGGGAACTGTAGCTGAAGAACCAGGGAACAGACCACGAAGGGCACTACTATGTCCAGGGAGAAGGTTGCCCTTTATCAGCTGCCCTAGGACCCAGCTGTGGGAGGGAATTGGTTGGTTGACTCGTTTTTCACCTGAGCGGTACAGGTCCATGACGGTGCAGTAACTGAAATGCCCTCGAGGTGGCGCGCACGAGTAGCGAGCCAGGCCTCCCGGTGCCTCTGCTCTGACCCCGGGTGGTAGGAATTTTAAGCGCTTAGTGGTATATGAGCACAGGCTGGTGCTGAGGTCGACACAGCCGGGAAGCAGAAGGCTGTGATCAATCCAGACCCCCACCTCCACTCCCGCTAGTGGTGCCCTCTCTGCAATTTGACTCAGTTCCCAGTCCTCTGCATTGAAAGCAAAATGAACATGGCTGCCTGGAATGCCACTTAGAAACGGATTCCAGCCTATGAGTCAGCTCCTAGCCAAGAGGAGGCCCGGGGATTGGGAGTGCCCTGCCAGGAATGGGGTGTAGGGGGGGAATGCCACAAGCAGCCTTGCCTCGCCCAGGTAAGGCGACTCTGGAAAACTGCCTTTTAGAGACACAGTGAGATGTCCTGAAAAGAATTCGCAAGGTGGGCAGGCCTAGAACTGTGGTTTGACTCTGCCATTTGCTAGGTGGATGACCTTGGAGCTCTCTGAGTCTCAGTCCATTGACCTTTAAAATGGAGATAATTTGACCCCCTTTCAAGGTTATTGTGAGGAGCAAATGAGGTAATGAAATGCTTAGCACTGTTGACAACTCATGTAAGTGCTCTATAAGTACATAATGCTTAGTAAAATAATACTCACACTTAATGTGGCAAACTATGTGAACTGCCTATTGCTTCATTACTAGAATTCTCTTAGGTGCTTTCATTCTCTTAACAACTGTATGAGATGGGTACTATTGTTATTCCCATTTGACATGTGAGAAAACTGAGGCACCTAGAGGTGATGGTATTCACCCTAGGTCACATAGCCGCAAAGTGGTGGTGTCAGGCCTTGAACCTGGGAACTTGGCTTTGGAACCTGGGTTCTTAGTAAATATGCCACAACATTATAGGCATTTCTGAAATGACAGCGTTGTTGTTTGCTAGCATGCCTTCTCCCAAGCAGCATCCTCAGGCTCCCCCTGGTGGTTCCCCACTGCTAAGTCCCAGACATGGAGGGTGTGGTGTGGGGTTAGCACCAGGAAGAATCTGCAGCTCCATCACAGTTGGAGGAGATGAGCTGGCTTAGATTGGAGGAGTTGACAGACACAGGCTCAGAGAGAGATCCTTCCCTTAAGTCACTGGCCTGCCAAAGAGGACCTGTCCCCACCTAGCTCATCTCTGGCTAGACCCCTGGGATGTTCCTTTCAACTCTCTGTGGCCAGCCCCCTCCACTCGTTCTGTATTCATTCATCAGCAAAGATTCATCAAGTACCTACCTAGAGCACTGTTACAGCTGCTGGAAGACAGTGGTGGACCAGCTCATGGGGGACCCTATACTGTGGAACCTGTAGTCTGGAGTGGAGGCAGGCAATGTTTACAAACACATAAACAAGTTAATTATAGACTTGGATAAGTGCTATGAATGCAAGAAATTAGGTCATGTGCTAGAGAGTTACAGGGCCCGGACGGTCTGCTTGGCTGGGGTGGTCAGGCCTCCCTGCGGATGTGATATTTGAGCCTGACTGTAGGAAAGAACCAGTCACAGGAAGATCTAGAGGAGGAAGAGCCCTCTGGGAGGAGGTGCCAACTGTGTAAAGGCACTGTGGTTGGAGGGCAGGTGTGTTCAAGGAACAGAAAGCAGGAGGGCAGTAGAGGCTTCTACCTCGAGCGGCAGTGGGGGGGTGGCCTGAGATCAGGTCAGAGGTAGGCAGGGGCCAGATGTAGGGGGGCTGGGGCACCACAGGAGGACTGGACTTTATGCTGAAAATAAGTGGAAGCCATCAGAATGTCAGAAGCAGGGAAATAATGGGACCAGGTGTGGGTTTCTGAAAGCCCTCTCACCCCTGCCAAACTCTTGTGTGACAAATAGATTGTAAGGGGGACAAGAGGATGCAGGGAGACTGGCTTCGGGTCTCTTGTGGCTGGGCAGGGGAGAGCCCAGTGGTTGGGACCAGAATTGTGTGCAGGGAGGGTCACGGTGGTGGCGGCAGCCCGGACTCTCCGGTTTATACCCTTCCCGGCCTTCCCCCACCCACACCTTCCTCTCCTGCTGAAATCTGACTCCAGGAGAGAGCTGGTGGGATCGCAGCTCCCCCACCCCTGTACCCAGCTGCCCGGCCACCCAGCTGTCGGGCAGGGTGAGGTAGAGTCCAGGATAATTTAGTCTTAGAACAGTAAGGTTCAAACGGTATTTAAAAAATATATAGAAGTTAGAAATCCCTTTGGACAAAATTTTTGGGAATTGAAAATATCAGCCTTATTAGAACAGACAGAGCCTTCCCTGCCCAGCCCACCCTACTCCTGTGGCAGCACTGAGACACCTTGGAGGGACCTCAGGGCTCCAGAGAAGGACATCTGCGGAGACAGAGGGAATCCAAGGTCAGGCCCAACAGCAAGGGTTGGGGATGAAAAGGTTGCTGGCAGAATTCACACTGAAGTGCTCAGCAGGATGTTGGATGGGATTCTCTCCTAACCCCAGATCTTTAACACGGGGAAGCCTGGGCTGTTCAGTCAGCCTCACTCTCAGACACAGCTCCTTGGGTCTGACTTTTCAGAAGCCCAGCATCATCTTCCTGAAGGGAAGAAGCACACCCATAGCTCCAGGGCTGCCTGGTGCAGCTGCCCCAGCAGGGCGCTGTACAACTCCAAGAGGTACCCAGGTGACAATGTGAATGGCACCCCCTGGAGGTAGGAAACACAGCCACCCTTTGGGACCTTCCACAAGGGTTCAGTGTGGTAAGACCCTGATGGACGGAGAGGGGTCCCTGATTTCTTCAACTCCGAAGTTGAAGCTGTTTTTCCTAGGAGGCAGGAGGGCTGGCTCACAGATCCTGACGGGTTACCGAAGAGCCAAGAGATGAAGGCAGAGACACGCTGACTGCCTGCCCCTTCCCGAGAGCAGTGCAGACACTCCTCTGAAAGGGACGGCTCTTAGGACTATCGCTCTACCCTCTTATCTCTAAAATGGGGCTGGCAACTTGGGACTCTCGGGCTTGCAGAGAGAAATAAACAGCACAAGGCAGTAAATGGTGGCTTTTGTTGTTACGTCCTTCACAAGTCCCAGTCTAAATCCTTTCTCCCCAGTTCCCTCACCGTCCTGCTCCAGCTCCCCCGAGCCCCTCAGCGTTGCCCCTGGATCTCCAGGGCTCTTCCCTCATCCCAAACCGAAGCTCTGTACCCACTAAACCTTCACTCCCCAAAGCCCCTCCCTCTGCCCCCGCAACCACCGTTCTGCTTTCTGTCTCTCTGAATTTGACTTCTAGGCACTTCGTATAAGTAGAATTATTCAACGTCTGCCCTTTTGTATCTTGCTTATTTCACTTAGCGTAATGTCTTCCAAGTTCATCCAAGTTCATCATGTTTCAGAATTTCATTCCTTTTTATGGCTGAATAATAATCAACTGTAGGTATTTACCACATTTTGTTTATTCATTTGCCCATCAGAGGACAGTTGGGTTTCTTCCATCTTTTGCTGGCAGCTCCCTGACAACAGGAAGATGGGAAGCCTGTCTGAGCCGTCAGCATGGAGTTACCACTCATTAAAAAAAAACCTGTTTCTCATCACAAAAGTAGATAGATTTTTTTTTGTAGAAGACTTAGGAAAAATGTATCAGCAAAAGAAGAAAACTAAAATCTCTTATAATCCCACCTCAGAGAGGTGATTGTTATTAATATAGTGTTACAGTCTGAATGTTATTGATCCCTCCTTCCCCAAATTCATATGTTGAAGCCCCAATTCCCAATATGACTGAATTTGGAATTAGGTCCATCATGGAGATAATTAAGGTTAAAAGTCACATGGGTGAAACTTGATCCAATAGAGTGTCCTCATAGGAGGAGACACCTGAGAGCTCACTGCCCGCCTGTAAGGACACAGTGAGAAGGTGGCCATCTACAAGCCAGGAAGGAGAACCCTTACATGAAACCAAACTGACCAACACCTGTTCAGGGACTCCTGGTCTCTGGAACTGGGAGGGATACATTTCTGCTTTTCAGCCACCCAGTCTGGTATTACATTATGGCAACCCAGGCAGACTAAGACACACAGTTATCTTTACAACCTTCTGTGCATATATGCGCAGATATGTATATGTATATGTATATGTATATGTTTATTTGTGGTTTTTTAAACCCAAAACCCAAATGGGATCATTTTAGGCAGTGTATCACAGGAGTTAATAGTATAAGGGTTGGAATCAGACAGGCCCGAGTTCAAACCTTGGTGGTGTTACTCTCTAGGTTTGCTTCCTCATCTGCAAACGGGGATGGTAGCAGTATTTGCCTCCTAGGACTGTTGTGAGGGTTACATTGGGAAGTGCTCCTAGAGTGCCTAGCAGGGTTCCGAGCACATGGTAAAAGCCAGCCCTCTTCAATGACGGGTCATTCACTATTCACTAGGCTGTAAACTCCTGGAGGGAGGGAGCTTTTCTGACTTGTCCGCTTTATCCCTTGTTCTTAGCACAGTCCCTGAGAATAGGTGTCTAATAAATATTTAGTGGATGAGTAAGGAATGATTCAATGAGAGCAGACAGGGAGAGAGAGGGAGAGAGAGAGCAGCTCACACAGCGCCTGATGGCTTGAGTTTTTGGCCTGGTCACACTGTTTTGTAACCAGTAGAGCACGGTGCTGGGTTAAGAGCGTGGGTCCCAGGGTTCACCTGCCTGGGTTTTAATTCGGGTCCTACTGGTTTCCAGATGAGTGACCTGAGTAACATTATTTAAAATGCGTTTTTAAATGCATCGATCTCTAAAATGCACTTTAAAATGCAACTCTAAAATGGAGATAAGAATAGTATCAACCTCATGGGGTTATTGTGAGGATTCAATGAGATGGTCCATATCAAGTACCTAAAATAGTACCTGCCTCGTAGGGTTGTTATGAGGATTGAAGATCATTGCTCAGTAAATGCTTTATTTGCTTAACGTCAGAATGTCGATCACGGATTGTCATCCTCAGGTCAAACAGCAGCAAGTCGAAAGCAGAGTCCTCTCCCAGGACGCCCAGCAGCCCCTCAAGCCCCACCTTTGCCCCCTCCATCTGCCTCCTGGCACCCTGCTATCTCACAGGGGACTCTGTCCGGGACAAGTGTGTGGAGATGCTCTCAGCGGCCTTGAAGGCAGATGGTGAGAGGGCCTGGACCAGGGATGGGGGAGGAGGGCTTCCCAAGGGCAGATGACATGCGGTCTTTCTCAGGGCCACGGGAGTGGTACAGGACACTATAGTCCCCAGTACAAGCAGGCTTCACTGCCAAGGTCACGTTTGGCTCATGCCTGTGTTTCTGAATCTCTTTTAGATGATTACAAGGACTATGGAGTCAACTGTGACAAGATGGCATCAGAAATCGAAGATCATATCCTTGAGTTTTGCCAAGGCCGTGGGTGCCGGGGCTGTCCAGCAGCAGGGCCCCCAAGTGCAGGGGACCCAGGATAGTGAGCAGGGAGAGCAAGGGCTCTAGGGACAGCCCCCTCTTCTGCCCCTGAACGGGAGTTCTTAATTCTAGCTAACATTTATTACGTCTTGCACCTGCCGGCCTCATGCTAGGCTGTTTAAGAACAGGATACCTCATTCAGTGTTGAGAACGACCCACGAGGTAAGTTTCCGCATTAATCCTGTTTTACTGGTGAGTTTCCTGAGGTTCAGAGAGATTAAGGCACTCGCCAAAGCTCTCACAGCAAATAATAGTGGCACTGCTGGGACTGGAACCCAGAAAGTGTGATTCCAGAACCTGAAGGCTCAACTGCTGGGTCACAACGTGCCTAGTTTCTGACATCCAGGGGTCAAGGAGACAGAGAGGACAGCACGTCTCATGCTCAGCCTTCCCCGCTCTTCGAACCTGTGAAGGCAGCAGCTCCCATTTTTTACTCCCCAATGTGCACCAAGCGCTGTGATGGGCAACTAACACACTGCCTACCTGTGATTCTCCCAACAGTCTCTGTGAGGCCAGGGCTGTTGTTCCCATTTCACAGATGAGGAAACTGAGGCTCAGGAGCTGCTGATCTCGGAGCTGGACTGAAAACCTTGGTCTTTAGATTCCACGTCCTGGGCTTTCCATATTTCCCATTCTCTCAGTCTCTGAAAGGGGCCTTGTGTGAACAGAGGAGGTGACCACCTGTGTGACATGGGCCCATTGCACAAAAAGATTCCTGTCTCCATGTGAAAAATTCCTTAGCACTGTGCCCCACGGAGTGAATGCTGGGATTTCCTTTACAGGAGACAAGGCTTTGCATGTCAAAGAGTGTGGAGGGAGGAGGACAGAATCCCCAGGAGACAGGCTGTCTGAGTGTCACACTGGGGTGTGAGGGACCCTTGAGAGACCTCTTAGGCTTTACCTATTGGGCTCAGATGGGGTTGTGTAAGGGGCAGGGGCCAATCTGCAGACAACAAACTTGCCTGCTTCCATCTGCCTGAGGCCCACACTGATATCCTCCAACACACCTTCTGTGATTCCCTCTCCACCATCATTTAAGTATTAACCAGCTTGTCTCGAGCTGTCCAGCACCTCACCAAATACTTTTTCATAATTTCTAATTCAGAACACTGAGCATAAGCTGCTGCTTTGTTTTCTCTGGGACTTTCCCCTTTGTTTTCTCCCTCCACTGGATGTCTGTCTTCCAAAGGCGAGGAAAGCAGAGCTGCGTCATCCCTTTAGCTCGTTGTTCTTAGGTGGTGGGAGGTCAGGTTTGAGGGCTTGAGTGTTTGTCTCCCAAAAAAGCCCTGCCCTCTTCAGAGCGACCCTGGACTCACGCGGCAGCCATGGGGCTCGCATGTGCTCCTTGGAGGGGTCGGTGACGTGCTGGTCCACGCTCCGCCTCACCCTCCGCTGTGAGCTCAGGAAACGGGAGAGAGGTATCGCCAGCCCCCGTCCCCACGTAGCCGGACACACACCTCCAGGAGTCCCAAGCACAGATTTCTAAACAAATGTCTTGGCTTTCAAGTGCATTGTGGTGTATTCTTCCTTTTTACATTTTTATTGTACAAACAACATTAAAACAACAAAAAGAGGAATTACACCACCTTCCTCCCACCACTTCTAGCAAGCCAGCTGTTTCCATTTTTCCACATTCTCCACAGTCGCTTTCTCTTATGTGGCATTTCCCAGCGAAGACTTCATCTTCCTGATTCCCCCGGCTCAGGAGGCCAAGAAAATGCGCCGTGTTCCCTGAGCTTTTCCAGAGAAGGGGGTGGGAGGCCTGTCTGGGATGCAGCATCTGGACAGAGAGGTCACTGTGGACCTCGGCCAGGGGCGACTTCCTGCTTGGTGAGAGGGGAGAGTGTTACCGTCAGGAGGGGGTCTGGCTTCCAGCCCTGTCTCTGCTGGGAATTTGCCCCGTGACCTTGAGCAAACGCCTGCACCCTTCCTAAGCCTCAGCTTCCTCATCTCTTAATGAGAGACGTAAGTCTGACCAGCAATTCCAAAAGTAGGTTCCAGGGGATGGTGACGGATATTACCAGACCACTGGGAGCACCAGACGAAACAAAGCTCAGTGATTTCTTTATTGCAATACTTCTCAGAGCCTCAAACATGTGGCTCCTAATCTTGTTCTTCCCTGCCAGCTGGACTCACGACCTCCATGTAACTTGAGGAGATCGTCATCATTATCATCTTAACAGCCCCTAAATGTTGAGCTCTTGATAGGTCCCAGACACCATGCTACGTTGTCACGCAGCTCAACTCACTGAATCCTCATAACTGCCCTGTATTTTAGAAGTAAGGAAACGGAGGCACAAAGAGCTCATGTGACTCGCCTGAGGTCACATGGGAGGCTCAGACAAACCTGGGGCGCCCACTCCTGGAGTTCCAGACACCACTGTGCTTGTTATGATCTGAACTCACCACGCAGGCTGTTTCCTGTTCCTGACACGTGACTGACCCCATAGGCCCAACTGAGATCCCCTCAAATGTCACAGAAGTGCCCAACCTCTTTATTAAATCAAAGGACAGGAAGAGTTGGCCCTGGGTGTCCTCGGCCTTCAGGGAGAGGCTCCCTATCCTCCTGCGGCCCTCCACGAGTGGCTGGCTGGCCCTTGACTGTGTCACATATCTACCAGGAGCTCAAGAGCACAGACATGAAGTACCGGAACCGCGTGCGCAGCCGAATTAGCAACCTCAAGGACCCCAGGAACCCTGGCCTGCGGCGGAACGTGCTCAGTGGGGCCATCTCCACCAGCCTCATCGCCAAGATGACAGCCGAGGTGAGGGCCAGGGCCGGGACCTCTGCACGGTGGGGTGGGGGCCAGGCCCCTCTAGCTTTGTCCAAGTCTCAGGGGCAGGGGCTTGTGACTCTGCGAAGAATAGCCAGGTGGCTCTTGCAGTCAGACGATCTCCCACTCCCCATCTCTCAAGGCTTCTGGACCATCGTGATAGTGAACATGGCTAATGCGTATTAGACACTGTGCTAGCACTTTAGACATACTGGCCACTTCTATCTTCACACCAACTGAGATAGAAATGTTTATTCTCCCCATCTCACAGGGGAGGAGGCTGAGACTCAGAGGAGTTAAGTGATTTGCCTGCCTGTACACACAGCTAGAAAACACTCAAGCCGGGAGGCAGGCTGTTGGGCCTCAGGGCGCCCACTCTTTGCTGCTTTGTTATCTGCCGCCCTCCTCGGCCTTGTTCAGCCCTCTATGCCAACACCGAGCTCCGGGCCGGGGCCAGAACAGGAGCTCCTGTCTCCATGGAGCACAGTCCAAGGGAGGGAGACAGACAGATTTACAGATACTGTGTGTATAAAACAGAGGTGGGGAGTGCCATGACAGGGCCATCATAGGGACGTATAGGAAGGAAGGATTGATCCAGCCTGAAAGGGTCAGTAAGGGAAGGAAGAGGCAACAAGCCTGTCTGAGGAAGTTAGAAACATGGGGGCTGTGCCAAACTGCCTGAGTTTGAATTCTGCCTCTGCGACCCAGCTATGCAATCTTAGACAAGCCACTTAACCTCTCTGTGCCTCAGTTTTCTCACCTGTAAAATGGGAATAATAATAATAATGGCTATCTCATAGGCAATGAATGCGTTTAGAAGGTCAATACATGAAAAACCTTCCCCAGAATTAGTATAGAATAGGCCCATTCACCAGCCATTTCATGTAACCCTCAGCACGATGCTATGAAAAAGGAAATATTATCCCCATTTTATGGATGAGAAAACTGAGGCCAAACAACTCACAAGTGACGTATGAGGATGTGAACCCAGAGCTGTTTATTTCAGAGTCTACATCTTGGAAAGACCTTGTGCACGCCCTCAGGTATGAGCAGCTCTTTGCTGCCAGAGCTCACTGAGGGATTTCCCACAGGCACCTGGAGAGGGTGCCACTACGCGCTAGTGAAGGAAGGGGCCCTGAGGAGGGGAGGGGAAGTGCGTGGCATCCTGGAGTCCCGCTGTGCCTCAGTGTGTCTGGGAATCCTCTAAACTGTTGGCCATACTGGGCCTCTGTGTGTGTGTGGGGTGTGTGTGTGTGTGTGTGTGTGTGTGGGTGTGTGTGGGTGTGTGTATTTGTTTAGTCTGTGACTGCGGTGTGTGGTTAGTGTATGCAGGGTATATATAAGTGTGGAGTGTATGTGTGTGTTATGTAGTATGTATGCGCATTTTTCTGAGGAGAGGGTTCACTGACTTCCTCAAATACCCAAAATAAGAACGATAATCCCTTGACTTTAGGATAAAACTGGGAACTTGGTGCAAGTGGACCAGAGTTATCTTTCTGCTTAATTTAAAACATCTGATCTTTTTAGGCAACTAGCAACATATGCCCAGAGTTACAAATTGCAACTTGGCTTCACAGTGTCTGCTCCTTCCCTGCAAGGTGCAGCTGTGACTTTTGTGCAAACCCAGCTTTGTGTTTATTTCTCTCTGTCCCTCACTCCATGCTCTGGGGTCCCCCTGCTGCTCTTTGGGTGTGTGTTGTGGAAATGCTGTCAAGAGACTGTCTTACAGGCAATTGCAGAGCCATGCTGGGAAACCAAGCCCAGGAGAACCAGGAGCAAGGTCTGGCACAGGTTTGAGCCAAACCCAGCAAGTTCCCAGAAGCTGGAGGTCAGAACAGAGCTGAGCATCTGGATTAGGACAAAGACAGGCCCCAGAAGTCCCACTAAAGCAACTGGCCAAGCCAGACACATGGATGAAGTCGGGCCCCGCCTAAGGACTGTTCGCTAGAGAATCGGGTGATCAACCCAAGCCCAAAAAGAGGCTCACTAGGCCAAGGGGAGCCAGCCAGGAACCGAGCAGGCCCCGGACAAGGGCCAGCCAGGGCTGGCCGCCAAGGACCCCTTCCCGCCAGCAGCCCAGGCGACATGGATGCCAAGATCTTCCTCCTGGGGGTCATCTTCTGCTCCAGGCAGGAAGTTTCTTTAAGAAATATAGGACCATTTTAGCTCCAATAAGAAAAATAACAGCTTGGGGTTGGGCTGCTTGCTGTTTTGTGGCTTAGAGGATGGGACACTGCTGTCAGGGAAAGCCTGGGACAGGGATGCCCATGCAGATGGACATCCCTCCCTGTGTCTCTGTGTCTCCCTAGCTCCCTTTTCGTGTCTCTTTCCTTGTCCACGAGATTCCCTCCCTTCTTTCTCTCTTTTCCCCTCTACTCAGACATATCAGAGCTGGGCGTAGATTCCGAGATATCCGTTGGGACTGCTGAGCGGATATACTGTCCGCCCCACAGGGACAGGGATTTATTTTGTCTGCTTACTGCTCACCCCGCCCCGAGATCGGTGGTGCTGTGCCGTCATGAATGCGCAACAAATGCTTATCAAATTCGCCTTTGGGGCCCTTCTCTAACAGTGTGTACAGTGTGGGGGATGTATTTTCCTCATTTTTCTTATTTTCTATATGACCGTACTTACTCTATGTCTTTGGTGCTGCCTCCTTCTAAATGAGTCAGGGCAGAGGTAGGTAAATGGATTGGTGGCTAAGCGGATTTTTTTTTTTTTAATTTCTTAGTGGGCACACAAGACTCATCTTTCCACATCTGATTCCCAGCCCTGTCTCCTATACTCCTCACTCTGAGGCCACTGTAAACACTCTTGTGCAAGCATGTTATTCTTGCCCTCTGATCTTTCACGTGGACTACCCTCTGTGTCTAGAATCTGCCATCCCCCGACACTACCCAATCCCCCTGCAAGTCCCGCTTATCTGTCAAGACCAGGTCGGGTGTCAGCTTCTTTAATGGGCCTGCCCTGTGCCCAGGCAGTCATGCCCTACGCTGGGGTGGGAAGACTTGCGCTGCACTTTGTATGACTTTGTTTTAGTACTTCCTAGTACTAAAAATCTTGCTATTTTGTGTAAATGCTTGGCTACTCCACCAGATTAGCATTACCTGGGGACAGGAACCAAATCTTCTTACCTGAATCCTGAGGGCTTAGCGACCATGGTGTACTGGAACCAGTTCCTACCAGCTCTGGAGTGATTATTAATGTGTAGCTACTCCCGACTCTGCATTCAGTTACATCACATTAGTAGCTTGAAATTGGCCATGATAGAAATATTTACACAATGGAAATTGGCAAATACTGCAGATCGGCCACCCCTACAGTCAAAACCGGTTTACCAACACACCAATACAGTCGAAGACATTCAGTAAGTGGGCCTCCAATAGATTTTGAATGAACAAACGCATTATGCTCTGGGAAATCCCCCCAAATTAAAGTCAGCTCCTTTTTGCTTATATAGCTTTGGCTTGACTTGTTTTTCTACATACCTCATCATTGGTTAGGGCCTATTGAATATAAAACAGTAGGATTTATTTATTCTTTAAAAAATCCTCACCTGAGGATATTTTTTATTATGAATTTAGAGGAAGAAGAAGGGAGAAAGAAAAACATCAATGGGTTGCCTACGCATTGCGCATGATCAGTATGCGCACTGATCAGAGATCAAATCTGCAACCTAGGTATGTGCCCTGACTGGGAATCAAACCTGCGATCTTTTGGTGCACAGGACAATGCTCCAACCAACTGAGCTACCCAACCGGGGCAACACACTAGGACTGAAACATGTGTGTGCACCAGAATAACTTGGGGGCACTAGTAAAAATGCATATTCCTGGGCCTGCCCTTCGAGTTTTGGATTCCTAGGAATCTGCATTTTGTCAAGAAGCCCAACTGGTTATAAAACAGTGGTCAGCACTAGATTTAGTGGTGACTGAAGTCATTTGACCTTTGTGCCAACTCCGTTCTCCACAGTTTAAAGAGTCATGGTAGAAAGCAACAACGGAAATGTTTAGTCGCTACCAAATCCTCACTCATTTTAGCATTAGCCTCTGCTGTCCTCCTTCCCCCAAAGCAACCTTAACTTGAACTCTCTTCAGTTTGAGTGCCCCCCTCTCTACTCTCCTCCAGCAGAGGTGTAAGAGGAGTCAGATGGCAAGGGAGATGGATAAAGAAAGGGAGGACCTAGAAAATGTGAGCACTGGGTGTCTGTAGTAATTTTGACACAAGAAGAGAGAGCCTGTTCTGTAGGGACTTAAAGATGTTCTGTGATACAGTCACAGGCGAGCAGTTAGTGGAGTGAGTCCAGGTGCTTCAGGTCCTAAGTGGGTGGGGACAGCAACAGCAAGTCATAGTGAGAGGCAGGGTGAGCACCAGCTCTGAGGGAACGTACAAAAGAGTGTTGATCCAGGGGCAGAAGCTGTTTGCCTTCTGCTCTCCTGTTCACACCCTTCTGCACTGGGCCCAGCCGGAGCCCCCCACATTTGCCCTTCTGCCCAAAGGCAGTCTGGAGACTCTTTGGGTGTAGACTTTTCCCAGCTGGGGCAGGGCCAGGAGTCCAGGCCTTGCTCCAGCTCCCTGCACTCAAGCCAGCACGTTCCCTCCTCCTCTGCTCAGGCTCTCTAGAAACCAGGTGTGGGGCAGGGTGCCTGGGACTCCCCGGCCCTGAAGGGCAGACTTGTTTCTCCCCAGGAAATGGCCAGTGACGAGCTGCGGGAGTTGAGAAATGCCATGACCCAGGAGGCGATCCGTGAGCACCAGATGGCCAAAACGGGCGGCACCACCACTGACCTCTTCCAGTGTAAGAAATGCAAGAAGAAGAATTGTACCTATAACCAGGTATGGTGAGGAAGGGAGGGCCGCATGGTGGAGGAAGCTACAGGGGCACAGAGATGGTGACCAGAGGGAGCTCAGGGGAGAGCCAGAGGGGCAATGGGTTAAAACTGCAGGCTGTGGGGAAAAAGGCGAGCCTTGGTACATCAGTGTGTCCCTGGGGCCTCTAGAAAATGTTCTTCTGCAGTGTGACCACTCAGATTTGTGTCTATGAGCCTTGGCCAGCCTGTTCTGGCTGGGCTGAAGCAAGGCTAGGAGAAACCAGGCTCACAGGGCACAAAACTGTAGAGTTGCAGACGATTGGAAGGGAACGTGGCATATAAAACTCAGCTCCCTCACCTTACACACAGGGAAACCGAGGCCCAGACAGGGGACAAGCTTTGCAGCTTTGTCCAACGTAGCAAAGATGGTCAGTGGCAGAGACAGTAATAAAGCTAAATCTAGACCTTTCTGCCTACATTACAGCCAACTCAATGTGTAAAGCCTAAGGTGTTTAGCCCCGAGTCCTAAGAGTGAAGACTATCGCCCCTGTATGGGGAGCCACACAGGCTATGGAGGCCACTTCTCTGGTTTAAAAACCAGAAAACCACCCTATTTCTGAGTGGCACAGATTATGACCTTGGGGCACCGATGTTCTTGGATTCTCATTGGTATCTAGTCATTCTGGAACTCCATTTATTCCTCCGTCTACTCAACAAGCAGGGTTTTTCAGCAGCACGTTGTGAGTGGAGATTTGTGGCTACAGCAGAGATACAGTTGCCCGTACCACTCGGGAATCATCCCTCAGAGAATTCCGATTCAGGAATTCAGAGATGACTGTGCAAGCTCATGCTCTCCTCCAAGCACGCCTCCACGGTGGGGCGTGGGCTTCCTGCGCCTGCCCCCCCACCCCACCGCCAGTAAACTGCCCATCAGCAAAGTTTTCTCTGCACAGAGGGACCCCGACGTTATCCTTCCTCGGGTGTCATTGCTCTCCAGGGAGAAGGCTGTGCCAAGTTGTGTTCTCTGGGCTGTGCTCCCTCATTAGCGGGAGGAGTCAGACTCCCAGCTGACATCATTCATAGCTGAGTGCCGGCAGAGTAGTAACGTGCTCTGTGTCATGGCCGTCCATGACATACAGAAAATCAGAACAGCAACTTACTTGTGTTAAATCTGGAAATGCCAGGGATTTGCCATGGGAAACCTGGTTCCTGTACCTGAATGGTTGGGTTAAGGGGATTAAAAAAAAAACCCTAGAAAACATAATATTAAATAGACCCAATGATCCTCAGATCTCTTTTCCTCTCTGGGCCTCAGTTCTTCCACTCGTAAAATATGGAATGAACTAGATTATCTCTAGGGGTTCTTCCAGCTCACCCAGTAGGGCATGTTCAGAGGTGAGTCAGGGAATGCTTCCTGTAGGAGAGGAGTCTTGAGGCAAGAGAAGAGAGATCAATTCAGGAGGCTGAACAAGAGTGAAAGTGCAAAGGCCAGGCTGGGCCAGTGAGCTACTGAAAGTGGGCTGATGGACCTGCAGGAGGAGGGGACAGTATACATTACCGAGTTCTCAGTGATAGGGGAATTGCCCAAGTTGGGTGGCAATAACAGTGCCAAGCCCTGGCTGGTGTGACTCAGTGGGCTGAGCATCAGCCTGCGAACCAAAGAGTCACCGGTTTGATTCCCAGTCAGGGCACATGCCTGGGTCGTGGGCCAGGTCCCCAGTAAGGGACATATGAGAGGCAACCACACATTGATGTTTCTCTCCCTCCCTTTCTCCTCCCTTCCCCTCTGTCTAAAAATAAATAAATAAAATTAAAAAAAAATAAAACAGAAACAGTGCCAAGTTCTGGGATTTGGACCTACTCCTGCAGACAGTGGGAGCCATGGCAGGTCCTAGTGCAGGGAAGTGACTTTGTGAGTGGTCTCTCTGTCTCAGGTGCAGACACGCAGCGCTGATGAGCCCATGACAACCTTCGTCTTATGCAACGAGTGCGGCAATCGCTGGAAGGTCTGTACCTTTCTCCCTCTCCCCACCGCAACTTCATCATCCACAGATGCTGCTCCACATAAGGAGTAGTGTACGCACAGCCAAGGGGGGGCCCTGTGCACGGGGGTTGGGGGGGGTGGCTTACCAGCCCATGCAGCGTGGGTCTGCAGAGCTAGAGATCTTGGCGGGTAGGTGGTGGTGAGGCAGGGAGAGAGTACATGTGCCTGTTTTCATTTTGGAAGGCATCCAGCTGGGATGGGAGGAGAAGCCCACATTTTATCAGAGGATGAGCAAATCTGTCATTTGAGCACAGACGGCATCAGCCGTTCCCCACCCCATCCACCCAGATCCACAGAGGAAAACAATAGCACTCTGCTCATGGACCACACCTCTTTACAAAGTACTTTAACAGATGTTATTTCCTCTGAACCTGGCCACAGCCAGGGACGAGGAAGGCTGAGCCCTGTCAGGGGGGCCTCGCACCCCAGTGCTCCCAGGTCATCCTCCCTCTCACGGCAGCCCTGGAAAAACTTATATTACCCCAGGCTGCCCCGGCTCCTGTGAAGGCAGAGGTTTTGTTTTCAAACATTGGAGCCAAGCAAGAATTCCAGAGTGCTCCTTCCCGCCATGTGCTCAGGTGATTAATGTCGGTTTCTAGTACCACCTGACTTGCTTGTGCACTGTGTGATGTCTGGGCCACCAGGCAGGCAGTGGGTACTCCAAAAGTTCTAAGGTTCTTAGCAAGGAGCCCCAGACTCAGTGTGGGACTGGGAGTCGGAAGCCCTGGTTTCAGGTCTCTACTTTGAGCTGCTCGCTGTGTGACTCTGAACATCTTATTCACCTCCCCGAGCAAAAGGGTGATGATGATGCCTTTCTCCAATGACTGATGTGCAGATGATTATACGTGCATGCACACTTTGCAAACAGCTACAAGAAATGTTTCTTTACAATACTACCCTCACTTTTGGATGAGGAAACTGAGCTACCAACATGCTTAACAAGCATAAGGTCACACAGTTTGGAGCACTGAAAGACAATGTTCCAAATTCCTCATTGATTGAGCTTCTACAACTTTACTGAGAGCCTCCATGGCCTTGGGGCCTCGTTACAACTGCCATCTTTTTCATGCAAATCCAGATGATTGTGTATTCTCCCTTCATTCATATACTTGGCTCTTAGGGACAGGGCCAGTACACTGGCCTAGTGGTTCGGACCATGGGCCTTGGCATCAGGTTTAAATCTTCATTTTCCCACTTACAAAGTGACTTGGCTAAGTGACCTGAACTCCCTCGGCCTGGATTTCCTCCTCTCTGAAATGGGGGTATTTTTATCCAGCTCACAGAGGTGATGTGGGGGTTAGGGACGGTAATACCCATGAGGCATTAACAGGGTCTTTGATAGCGCGTGTGGTATCTTTGTCAAATTAGGAAAAGGTGTCCCTGCCTCCAGGCAGACACGGCCTTGCACCAGGGTACAGAGCTTGGCAAAGAGAGCGGAGGCTGAGTTTCAGCCCCCACTTGCCCCTTTTGACAGGCTCTCTGGTGCGGTGAACAAACTGTACAACCACACAAACAAGCCCTGGGCACATGTGTTCCTGGTACATAGAAACCACCGCTCTTACTATTCTGTTTGTCACCTACTAGCATTATGGAAGCTTAGGCAAGTCACTTAACCTCTCTGAGTTGCTTCTTTACCTGTGAAAACGGGGAGGAGTGTCTACCTCCCCGGGTGATTGTCAGGATGAAATGAGTTAATACACCTTAGTACTTCCCAGCCCAGAATACGTGCTCAATAAATGATAGCCCTTGGAATTGTCACTGTTGGGGAAAGGACTTTCTGCCTGCTGCAAAGCCAGCTCCTCCTCCCTCATCCCTATTCGTTGCTGAGGCTGGGCCCAATCGAGGTGGCAGCTATAGGGCTTCTAACGACATTTTCAGTAGTGTCCAGTGCCATGGGGAGGGCCTAAAGTCTAATCAGGTGATTGGTGATGATCACAGTGATATTTTGACCATGAATTGAGAGCCCACCACATGTCTGCATCAAATTTCCATTCATTTATTACCTGATAGCCTTCTCACATTGGTCGGCATTATGATCCCATTTTACAGATGAGTGATTTGTTCCAAGTCACACAGGTAATTACAACAGGATTTCTCTCTGGTCTGTGTGGCTCCAGACCCTGTCTTCTTTTTGATGTCCCCTCTGTCTGCCCCTAGACTCCTTGGGTGACACAGGGAAAGCTCTAAAATTTTGTTGCCTTTTTGGTTTTGTAGTTCTGCTGATATAGACCTGCCAGCCAGGATTTCAGCGAACAAGTTGAGGAAGAACAAAGAGAAAGCACTAAGCCATCTTAACTGGAGAAAAAATAAAAATGAAAATGAAAAATAAAATGCTGAACTCTGAATGGGGTACTAGGGATCAGAGGGAGAATCCTTTTGCAAATTAATCAATTATTGATAATGATTGGCTAACAGAGGGAGTCTAACCGGGGCACCAAGCTAAGAGGTGTCAAATCTTTGACAGTAGCTGGCCGACCTTTGCTTTGAGTCCCTTCCCTCACATCCGAACCTCTCAGCCTTTTGAATTGGAAACTAAAATACTGACGCAAATCTTACTGCACCCCGCCCTAGAGTCACACATGCAGAACACTTGGCACACGATTTGGCTCAGGCAGATCAGACTTCCACACCGTGTAGAAAGATTTTCCCTACTCCACACCTTTTCCCAAACTGTTATTCCCTGTTCATAGCTGGCTTCGGGGGCCTTTGAGTCGGGGAACAGATCTTTTTGAACTGAGTCTTTCTGCCTGAAGGGTGCAGTGGTGCCCTTCAGTCTGTGGCCCCTGGAAGGTCCTGAGCCTCAGGCCCGGCCTCGGGCCTGACAGTGTGTCCTCCCTGCGCTACCCGGAGCCCAAGCTCCAGAGGACGCCTGCAGGGCGAAGGTTCTTGTCATGCTTCTGCCATGTTGACACCAGCTTACTTTTGAAGCTGATAGAAAGGCACTTTAAGCAAAGCTGGAGTCTTCTGGGAAAGCCTTGGGAGCAGGTCTGGTGGGACTGTCCTGGGTCTCTGTCTCTGTCTCTGGCCTTCCAGCAGCCCCAGCCTGAGCCTCCTGGGCACTGTGTTTCCTAAAACGGCTGATGTGCAGGAGCCTGTGAGCTCTTGGGAGCCTGGGCAAGTCACTCATTTTCCCTGAGCTGTTTCCTTACCTGTGAAAACAGGAGTGGTACTCGTGCCTACCTCATAGGATGTTGTGCAGAGGCTGCTGGGTCTCCATCTGCCTTGGTACAGCCTTAGGGCAGCTGTTTGGAGGAACTTCAGCCCAAGTTCTTTACATGCCCTAGGTGTCACCCACTCTGCATGGGTGACCACCTTCCTCCTTCCAACCGCCAAGTACCTCTTAGATGAAGCCTGTGAATAAACTGTGTACAGAAATCTGCTACCATCTTCAATTTTTCAATAGTCAGATTTGGGGCCGGTCCTTTGGAAGGCTTGAAAATCCTCTCACAGAAGATACAACACACACAGGCTTTAAATGGCAGAACCAGGACTGAAATCCAGGTCTTCTGCTTCCTGTCATTGTGCTCGATGCAATGGGAGATCCAGGGCCATACACAAAATGGTTGGTGTATACCTTCCAGGAATTCCCAGCCTGGCGGGGAAAGAAATCACAGGCACAGACTTCCATACCAGATGGGATGTGAGACATTCCTGAGGTACAGATATTACACACAGAAGTGTGGAGGGGTGCTGCTTAGATACCCAGGGCCTCCTTAAACTTTAATACAGGTGGGAATCCCCTGGGGGTTGTGTTAAAATGCAAATTCTGATTCAGTGGGTCTGGGGTGGGGCCTGAGATTTCTCAGCTCCAATAAGCATCCAGGTGATGCCCCTGTTGTTGGCCCACACTTGAGCAATAAGGGTTTAGATATCTGGATTTTTCTCTGCCTTATCTAATTGTCTAGAAAACATCTAAATGTCTAGAAAACAAAAGCAGAACAAACAGCAACTACTGTCAATTTAATAATGTCAATACATGTTACTCTTGGGCTTTTTAAAGGGGTGCCTGGGGCGATTTTCAGTAGTCAGTCTAAATATTCATTGTGCTCCGCATGTCATAGGGATTTACAGCCTAGGGAAAAGTACAGAACTGAATCCCCACCCTTAATAGCCTTACCCTTGCCCTGGCTGGTGTGGCTCCATGGATTGAGCACCACCCTGCAAATCAAAGGATCGCCAGTTCAATTCCCAATCAGGGCATGGGCCTGGGTTGCTGAGGCCAGGTCCCCAGTAGGGGGCACGAGAGAGGCAACCACACCTTTTGATGCTTCTCTCTCTCTCTTTCTCCCTCCCTTCCCCTCTGTCTAAAAATAGATAAATAAAAAATCTTTAAAAAAAAACGACCAACCTTATTCTTCACAAAGGAGATGAATCAAATTAAACAGCAAAAGAACTGGTTGGCTCTAGTCTGCACATCTATACAGTACACATCTACATGTCACTAATAGAAAGACCCAGAAAAGTGTGAATAGGCCTCAGACTGTGTTCACCAGCAGGGGTCATTACCCTCCCAACCGGTCTTCCTCTGTCCATCCGCACCCATTCGAATGCATGCACACCACTGCGCAGACCAGAAGAGGCATTTCAAAATTGCACATCTGGTCATGTTACAGCCCCCGACTCAACGACCCCCATTTCAAACCTTCCTTTCTTTTTTTTCCCCGACTGCTCTTGGCAGGGTCCACAAGGCCCTGCAGGGCTGGCCTCTGCCTCACCCCTGCACTTTGTGCTCCAGCCACACTGGCCATGCTGTGCTCCTCTTGTCCCGCAGTCTTTGCACACGCTGTTGGTTGGAACACATGATTTAACCCCATCTTCACCTTCATATCAAAGATGAGAAGTTGCCTCCAGCCTATTAGACCATCCTGAAGTAGCCTGATCTGAAAGACGACGAGGGTGTGAGCTGAAAGGGAGTTATCATTAACTTCTGCCACCCAGAAAGGCTTCCTAGGGGAGGACAGATGGCTGCCTTACAGCAGGAAAAAGGCAAGGTCAGGGGAGGTGAAAACAGACAGGCAATGTGAACGTTAAGTATGTTCACATTGTTGGGATGGTGGAGAGGTCTCACCAGGAATGCTGTGGCCAGAAGACCTTGAAAACAAAAGTACATTCAAGATCCTATGACAAATTTAGAGGATGTTTCAAAAGGTTACAGGAACGTGAAATACTATACGGAATGAGAAGTCTTTTCTCGTAGTCTCATCCTGACGACCAAATCTCTCACTTTGGCCCTGAATTTTCTTGAGATCAAGAGTCAAGTCACCAAGTGCTTATCTGGATATCTCCCCCAAGAACACCCCCCACCCCTCTCAATACAATTAATCTAAAACTGAACTCACTTTTTCTTTTTTAAATCCCCTCTTCTGCCTTTTTTCTATCTGTCAACTACTGGTTCATTACTTGCACCACCTTTGACCCTTTTCCCTGCCCTCTTCACTGTATCAGTTACCAGTTATATAGCCTCTCCTTTGCCCAACCCTTCTCTCCATTGCCATCACTATCAGCATTGTCTTTCAGGCCTTCCGTTTTCTTGGACTCAAGCAAAGAACTTCTACTCATCTCCCAATTCAAAGCACTTCCTACCTTCCCTGCATGGCTCTGAGCATCCCTTCTCTAATCACCTTCAGTGGATTTCCACCAGCTACCCAAGAAAATTCAACCCCCTTGGTTTGGCTTTCCAAGTCTCCCTCCACCTGCCTTCTGCCATTGGCGGCTTCTCTTCCACCCCTGCTGCTCACTTACTCCAGCCTAAAGGAGCTATTGCTCAGTTCTTGAAAACCTGATGGCCCTTCCCAAATGTGACTGCCTCTTCTGATTTCTCACTCCTACCTTGTCCAAAACCTATTCTTCAAGACTCACCTCAGATGTACTGCACGTCTACTATGAAGTCTTCTGGGTACAAGAGATGGTTCCTCAGAACTCCCAGAGTGCTGTGAGACTCTAGTAATTACACTGCATTCTACCATGACCATAATGGTGATGGATTCTTTGTGTGACAGTATGGATAATAATATTTTATTCTTAAGCATTTGCTAGCTGGGTATCTTGGACACCTTATGTAACTTCTCCATGTCTCCTTTTCTTCATCTGTAAAATGGTGTAATAGCACCCAACTCAAAAGATTACTGTGAGGATTCATTAGAATCATGCCTGACACCAAGAACCTGGTTAGTAAACGTTAGCCATTATTACTGTGAGTACAGGGGAGTATTTATATTTCTCAGCCAACCCGGAGACACCATGAACTAGATCACTATTATTATAATACCCTTTAAAAAACATGTTATGTATTTATTTTTAGAGAGAGGGGAAGGGAGGGAGAGGGAGAGAAACATCAACATGTGGTTGCCTCTTGCACGCCCCCAACTGGGGACCTGGCCCACAACCCAGGCATGTTCCCTGACTGGGAATCAAACCCATGACCCTTCAGTTCGCAGGCTGGCACTCAATCCACTGAACCACACCACCCTTTTTTATTGTAAAATATATGTAACATAAAATTTACCACCTTAACTATTTTTAAGGATACCTTCAGTTTGGTGCTGTTAAGTACATTCACATTGTTGTCCAGGCAATCTCCAGAACTCTTTTCATCTTCCAAAATTGAGCCTCTATACCTATGAAACAACAGTTCCGTTTGCCCCCTCCCCTAGGCCCTGGCAAGCACTATTCTACTTTCTGTCTCTATGAATTGTATTACTATACTTTTTTTTACCGACTGAGAAAACCAAGGTTCAGAGAGTAATTTGCTTCTGGGAGACAGAATCTGAACTTGAACCCAGGTCCCTATTTCTGTTCTGAGCCACTTTGAAAAATGGCTTCACCTCACAGAGCATGATTCATTTCACTTCCCCCCTAACGGTGATGGCCGCTGCGGATCAAGGCCTTCCTCTGTGCCTGTTTGTTCGCAGCCATTCTCACATTTAATCTTCACAGCAGCCCTGCAGTCATTGTGAGGGGGTGGCGTCCTATCTTTCAGCGCAGTGTCTGGTACAGAATAGAGACACAGTAAACATGTTTGGTAAATATGGGCCTATTTGATGCCTTTAAGTAGGCTAAACAACGGAGAAGTTTGTTGTACATTTTCAATGCAATTGTTTATTTTCTTTTATTTATTTTTTTTGAGAATGTTGATACTCTCAGGAGAAAACCAGCTGAAACTCTTGAGCTCATAAAGAGCTTCCCAGTGCTCTCTATGCCTCCCTCTTCCTGTAGGGTCAGTCTGCTCTTCTCGCCCCGGGCCAGCCCCAGCTGCCCCCTCATCTGCACCTCATCACCAGCTTTACTGATCCACAGCCAAGGGCAGAAACAAAACAGGCAGGCAGACAAAG